CTGTATTTTTAAAAATGTGCAGGCCTTGGCCAATCAACTGCTGGATGAATGTCCTACACGTGACGTGTCCGTCAGTCACGTGCGGTTGTTTGAATGTTTGGCCATACTTCACCGCGCTGGTCACTGCGGGTTAGTGGAGGTGGAGGGTTGAGGTGGGGTGGAAGAGGGTTCGGTGGCGTAAGTAAACAGTTCAAGTGAAACTCCGTTTAACATCGCGCCATTCACGCAAGGCCTCGCAGCGCTTCACAACACAATCCAAATAATAAGCGACAACACAAAACCCCTGAACATTAAAACTGGGAGGAAAACAACCCCCGACGCAGGACGGATACACAAGAGAAATTAAATGTGTTTTACAGACGAGCCTTAAAGACCTATCCCTAACGCACTGAGGCAAGGAGTTCTACAAACGAGACTAAATGCTCTACCGCGTATCGAACGCAGACCTGTCCTGGTCCCACGATTCGATGGATCGAAGTTGCCGGACAGGTACATACGGTGTCAGCCCATCTCCGAGATATAATGGAGCTACTAAGCCTTTCAGGGCCTTGAGGGTTGGCCGTGTCCCGGGAACCACGGATGGTCTGGGTCTCAGAGCATAGGGCACTCATTCACTGCTCCACAACTCCACTCCGCTTGCTCCACTGCCTGCGGTGTCCACGTGTCGATTTCTGGCTGCACAGAGGCAGCAGGTGGGGGGCGGGGGGTTAAGAAAGTTTCACCATTATTGTGACTGCCGTGTCGGGAGATATGGCAATAATAATCATAAGCATTGCAATTTAGTGAATGTACTTACTACTTAGCCCGTGTGCCCAGGGGGCTGAGCGGTACCACTTGGCATGGCAAATGCTTCCAGTATTCCCCATGGGCAATGTCCACCATCAGGAGAAAGCCAAGCGTAAATGCTGCCTGTTATAAAGACACGCTTCAATCTGTATTCTCATATTCCGTAGATGCTTAATTTCATTTAAGTTTTTTTTTTTCATCAAAAAACAAATTCTCTCTCAACCCCAGTAAAACGTGCCAACGTGGTTGGAACCGTTGGGCGAATGTTGACCCAACGTTCTACCAACATTTCATATTTACTGGGGCAGCCAATAACAGCATAATTAATTAAAGCTACCAATATATCCTTGCTATCATAAATAGCTGTGATCTGGACATAACATGCATTAGGAAAAGCATTGTTAGCATTTGCCACCCTCGTAAGTACCAATAACACATGGTTCGAAGACGTTGTTGGTCTGTTGACTGCCTCCCACAGACAATAGACAATGTTAGGCCGCAGCTTGCAGCATACACAGCGGATACGCCGCTCTGCTGCAACACGAGCATCAGCATCACTTTGCTCTGCCAATACAAGCATGACAAAATCTGTCGCAATCTCTGCAATTTCCATATTCCGGGTTAGTGATTGTAATCTAAACACTGCATAATTCAATTATATCTGCTTTGTGTTGGCGTCTAGAAGATGTTTACTTGGGCTTTATTGGCAATATTTACAGAGTATCTATAAAAACAAAAATGGTGAAGCTTGTAAATTATACGCTGAGCTGTGTTTTTTCTATATATATAAAAATATAAATGTTGTTATGAATTCCTCATGGTCATACGAACTTTGGTATATTGCCAATTGTTGATACAAAGCATGAAACTTAGTCAATACTGTATGTTTATGAATATTCACTGTAAAGCCAATTAGAATGCGTGGTCTCCCTCTGTGCACTGCTGTCTCTCGTAACTCGAGTAGCGCTGCTATACATGTGATGTCGTCCCCTGTGAGTCAAGGTGACCACATCACGTGTCCCTCTGTTTAAGAACGAAACAGGAGGATTTCTCCACAAATCTGGCTGTCGCCTGATGAAACTAGTTGTAATTGCCGGCAAAAAAGCCGTACCTCAAATTGTAAATGTCGTAGTGAGTTTCCTCTCCAACACACTCCGGTGTGCTGTACTAGTAACGAATTGGCACGTTTTGTTTACGTGACAAACCTTACTAATCGGCTGTGTCGGGTGGTGGCGGGTTTAACGTCACGGTCAGTCACGCATCCTGGTCTCTGGTTCAGCAGTCCCAGTCATAGTCACACCTGATGATGAGTTTAGTCACACTCACAGTCTAAAATAAAACTATTAACTATTTTTTATTTTACCAGGTAAGGTCCCCTGAGCTTGATATCTCTTTTTCAGAAGCGACCTGGCCGCAAACGATAGCTCAACGAAGTGGCTTATCACGTGGAAGTTTATAGCAGCAAAATACTTTGAACGCGTGATGTTGATTCTAAATGTGGAGGGGAAAACCGGAGGATCCCGAGAAAAAACCACGCAACCACGGGGAGAGAGACAACGCAAACTCTCAATATATAGCAGGCGTCAGGGTCAGGATCAGGATCGAACCCACGACCTCCTGTATACCAGGCGAGCTAGTTAACACAGTCACCCTCTACCAAAATGACGAATAAAAACACTTAAATTACATACGTATATAAAAACACACACACACACACATCTTGGGAAACCAAGTCAGTTGTAAACGCAATGCGTGCCAGACTTATTCGTCCATTGACACAACTCCCACTGCTAGGGTTGAGTTTTACAACAAAAACCCAAAACAGCATTGCGAGTTCAAAGGAAGCAATAAATCCGGTACAAATGAAGAACAGATTGCCGCATATGGATTCATTCAAGGCCCAGTCCACCTATTGTACACTTTATCAGGATCAGATTTCGATGTTTTTTTCTTTCTTTCTTTAGAACGTTGTTACAATTGGGGTACTTGTTTTAGTCTTTCCCTCGCCCACCAGGTTTCCCGATTGCATTAGGAGCTCTCGCAGAGCAGCGTAGGCAAGCCATCGTGTAATCGTGTTGGAGAACGTCCCGTGGAAGAGGATATCACAGAGTTGCCTCGGAGATTCCTTCCTCACAGTAGTGGGCAGCACTTTCCCGACGGCTCTGCCAAATTAGAGTAATGTTCATCGGGTAATGTAAAAACATATTTTACTTTTTGGTTCACAGAGCTGGAATTTAGCCAAATTAAGTGGAAAACAAGCCTTATTGTGACGGGGTATATTTTTGGGTAGTCATTGGTGATCACGTTGAAACCATCAACTCTCTGCATTTGGTAACCCGGGTATATCATATAGAAAAGCTGCATGGATTCATACCCAGAATCTTAGCGATGCCAGCGTATTCTTAGGAAGTATTTGGATATTCAGATTTTCTTTCATCCTAATGGATTCATTAGGACTATGCCAATGTGATCAAGAGCACGCAAATCATTTCGCCATTAGCAATTGCAAGATCGCCCAAATATGTGGCAAAAAGTGCCCAATGTGACGTGGGTTGGCTTGGCATCAAAGGATACCCGTGTACGGTCTGCCAGTAGGAGGGGCCAGCGGTGATGTTCCTGTGTAGCTTCACATAATTAGTTATCTTTAAATGTTGACAAGTTTGGAGCGTGACGCCGGCACACATGGCTCGGTCGTCTTTCGAATAGCTACACAGGAACCTTGACCGTCCCCTGCGAGGCCGACGGCTCGCGCGATCGGTAAATACACCCGCAGCATTGACCGGGGTAGCTGCTGTGTTCGAACCGCGAACCTTTGCAACAAAACCGCTTGAACAATGTCACTTGGCCTCTGGGCGACGCAGAGTTTATTTCACAATAAACTCATAGATATTTGCTCTCACAGAAATGCCGTGGGCCTTACACCAAACTGAGACTTTTATTATATGTATTTATTTTTGTTGAACGTCTTTCGCAACGTACATAGTCAACCGTGCCAATCGTCCGATAATACTGGTAGGAACCTCCTGGTTACACCAGCCCACAGGGGATTATTGCGTCCGTCGTGCAGGGAGGGGCTGGGTGGGGAGGGAGGGGCAGGGTGGGGAGGGGAGGGTGGGAAAAGTGGGAAGGGGCTGGGTGGGGAGGGGAGGGTGGGGAAGGGCTGGGCGGAAAGGGTGGGGCTGGGTGGGGGGTGGGAGGGGTGGGGCTGGGTGGGGAGGGGCTGGTCACCCCGTGGTGCTCTTATAAAACTCAACGTTTAACCTACTCACGCCGGCTTGTGCCCGCCCTCACAGTCGGGCATATTTGCGGAATACACCACGCCGCCGTTGACCCTGCAGGCCATTGACCGAGCAACCCAACGTTCCTACCAGCTCCCTCCGCAGGACAATGTGTTATATCGCACGATTAATAGATCACAATCTCGCGCACGTGTATCGCTCCTGCCACCTCGTGGTGCGCTGTAAAACTACAGTACTACATGTCAATGTGGTCCGTAATATGGTACAGTACACAACATACTACAGTACAGGTACTGTATTGTATGCATTATCATAATTATGAATGTCGGAACCGGTCCAGTAATGAATACTTTGCTTGTGTTGAGCCAATATTGCCCAATTTAAGATTATACATTTTTGTAGGACTCCATTTGTTTGTTAATTCATTATCCGTGCCTGGATGTCCTAGGTTTTAGGGTAAACAAAACATCGTGGGCTTATGCACGGTCAAATAAAAACAACTCAAAGACATTCGTCCAATAATACCGTGGCCTTAAAAAAACACGATATAATTGCCGTAGTTTCGGATAATGGTCCTTCAAAGGGGGGGCGTTTCGGGAAATCTACGTTCAGAAGAAGGGCGACGTTTCGGACAATGACCCTTCTAGCACACGGAGATGCCTCTAGCAAATAGAACATGTCGCGTGTTGTATGTAACTTGTTTCCTTTTAAGGCCACGGTGTCATTTAGAAGAAAAAAAAACTTGAATTCGTTTTTTTTTATTTAACCCAACATAAACCAGTGATTTAATACAATTGCATTTGTTTATTCCGCGAGCGTGAATGATCTGCGACCCAGATAATCGGGCCACGGGTAACGATGAAACGTATCTCTGGGATTCCAAATATCCGAAATCCACAAATCTCTAAAGCTCTTCGCAACTCCAGACACCACGTGGTCGGTTGTCAGCGCGCGCCATGCATTGTGGGTGCCGCCCTCACGACCCGTACGTCAAGACGCCTTGTTTACCGCTCGGAACTTTAACCGATTTCAACCAAATGTAAAACAAATATATCATTATTATTAGTTCCAACAAACTACGCGGATTATTTAGCTTATTTAATAGATCCCTCACGGGATTGTACATTTCTGTTCAAATAAAAAATTGTAAAAGCCGCCCGAAACAACGAGCGGCCTAGCGCCGGGGAGTGCGTACCGCGTGGTGCTAGCAGCCCCCTGCCGGACGGGGCGCCTCTCAGCCCGGCGAGGTCGAGTCCGTGCGGGGATCAAAACAAGTGGGAACTCGAGCCGCGCGCGCGCGAGGAAGCGAGCTAGCGAGCTGTATACTATTTAAATCTCGGCGCGAGGCATCTTTTGTGTAATTTTAGTTTTTATTAAGGTGTCTGCGTGTCTATTTAGTGTTTTGCTTTGTTATCAAACGGGTGGCGGTTTCTCTGCCCACGATATTTCAAGACGCCATTCACCCCCTTGGTGGGTGTTGAAGCTGATAATTGGCAACGTTAATTGGAAGAAAATTACTCCACCCTCTCCCTCACGCCAAAAAAATGTTACATCACCAACACCGTATTGACCGGCGTGGTAAAGTATAGTCAACACACAACCCGTTATAACCGGCATTGCATTGGCTTCGGGAGCACGTTCATGGAACAGTGGATTGACAAGTACAATACAATACACGGCTGCTTCGATATATTCGTCTGTTTTAATATCCAAGCGAAGCGAGTAAGTAGCACGTTCGTCCCTTGCCAATCGAGGCTGTAGTTAATTTACGACCACGGGTCTGTGAACGTCGCCTGTGTCGGGGATAGAGTCGACGGGGTTGGTTTGTCGATGGCGACTCGTGGAGGCCGCTTCGCTCGGGGCAGGGCCCGGGCCCGCTGCTACGATGGCCCGGATTTTGCGAGCATGGACGAGGCTGGAGGAGGAGGAGGCGGCGGCGGCGGTGGTGGTGGAGGCTTCGGGCCGCCGCTGGGAGGCAGAGGTCGCCATCCCAGCCACCTCAAGGGCCGAGATATCGGCCTCTGGTATTCCCGCAAGTCCGTCGGCAAGGGCAGGGCGCGCGACCGGCGAGACGTGAGTGCTGTCGTCGCTGATGGCCTTGTGCTTGTGGTGACTGACGGTCGTAGTGGACCCGAGGAGCAAGCGCTGTTAGCGAGCACCTATGATGGGCGGCATGGCACACGCAAGGGGGTGGGTGGGTGGCCAACACCACGCCCGGCCACCTTTGTTTTGCCAGTGGTGATGTTACGGGGGGGGGATCTTTGATTGTAATTGTGGTGGTGATATGTCTACTACTTCTCGTACACCCTGCGAGATTATGGGATACAGTACAACGTCACATACCATACATTTCTGGGGACTGAGGGGGAGGCGGATATGTTATTAGATCGATATATGTGAATATTGCTCTGATAATGTATTGTCTTTATGCTGTACGCCGTTTGGCGTCCTCTGGTCTAACACCGTTTGAGCCGAGGCTCAAAAGAAAGCTGTCTCTGGTGTGGACCAATCAGTTTCATGGACAATGCAGATATTATCAGAGTATGTTTTTTTTCATTCTGACCACACGTATTGTGGTTAATGCAGACATGATACCTTGTAAAAGGTTTCAGTTTGGTGTTTTAACAACTTAACACCTGTTTGTTGCCAGATAAAAGGGGAAAACCTATTCTCATCTGTAGAAATGTACAGTTAAAATGTGCACAAATAGGTTATTGGACGAAAACGTTAAGTTATTAAGAATGAGTTAAGTGTCTATTTCGATTAAGGGTGGTACTAAATGGACGGCGGCTTGTAATGGCTTCTTAACTTGAACAAAAGTGACAAATGATTGTCCGTGTCACAGATATCTGCTGTGGAGCCATGGTCATCAATGATGAGATGAGCATTAGTAGCGCTGGCGCAGCCCCAGGCAGTCGTTTTCTTAGTGTACGCCTTGGGACATTGTAGACATGACGAATATCATTATCCCAGAACTGCCACTGGGCGATTAATTGATCAGGGCGGATATGTGTCGGTCGGGTACGCGAGATTGAACCGTACAAAGAAATGTGTCTCATCTGGAAGTAGTGGCTTGCCGTGTTACAGCACTCCAACAATAGTTGTCGTCAATGGTTTTATAAGTGCAGCTTTGTGCCTGCAATGTGGTCGTCATGTGAAGTGCACGCAAGGCCTGATGGGAGTTGTGCCTGCATGATATTTGTGAGCAGCCCACCTTTGTGCGTTATCACGGTGCCGCGATGCGTTTCACTTTGCTCTCTCAGCGCGCTGTGGTGGAGATGGACGGAGCTCGGGAGCAGCACATCACTCAGCTGCTACATGCCGTCAAGAAGGAGGACAGGGAGGAGGCTTGCAGAGATATGGATGCCGTCCAGACTCCTGGCACCAGCTGGAGGGTGCAGCCAATGGAGTACGTTTACCACAAGTGGTGCAGTCACAACAGACATCACATTTGCATGCTATGGCACTGATGCCTCTTTTTCCACTGTATGGCCAAGCTGCTGCCGGGCCCATTCCGAGCCAGCCCGGCATGTCTCAGCAGGCACTAGAGTTGTTTTTTCACTACAGAAGCTGAGCAGAGCCACTGACAATGATGCCGGACGTGTGTGCCACGGTGGCGAGATGTTAACTACCTCACCTGGTATACAGGAGGTCGTCGGTTCGATCCCGACCCTGATGCCTGTATATTTGGAGTGTGAATTATTTCTCCAGGTCCTCCAGCTTTTCCCTCCACATTTAGAATCAACATGTGTTTAGAGTATTTGGCTGCAATAAACTTGCACATGATAAGTCATTTAATTGAGCTATTATTTGTAGCCAGATCACTTCTGAAAAAGAGCTAAATAGTTCAGTAGGCCTTAACTGGTAAAATAAAAATAGTTAATAGTTTAGCTCGTGTAGATGGTGAAGTGACCTTTCCTCACAGTGTTCTGCGACTGACGTGACATGCAATTAATACGTGTTTAGCCCCAGCCCTGCTGGGCCCTGGGCCAGATTTGGATGTCTTGAGGCCGGCCTATCATGGTTTGGTTCAGGCTCGGTGCGGCGAATAACCGGTGACAATGTCACCCGTACTGCGATGGCTGCTGTGCTGGCCTGGTGTGGATGTTCCACCGGTTCACAAGTATAATGTTTTTGTTCAGAAGTTGGAACATTTTTACGGAATCCATGGATATGTATGATGTTCTGCCTTGTTTCTGAACAAATTGTGGTTTCAACAGCACATTCTCTGCCACTGAAAAAATCTCCTGTTCTGTCACCACTCAGCGGTGATGCCAGTTTGAAGTCGCTCGCCAAGGTGGAGCCCCCCGACTGGTGGGACCACTCAGATGGGGAGGAGGAGGGTGATAGAGGACAGGTCCCTCCGCCCAATGAAATCGAGGAGGTGGACGAGATGGCTGGGCAACCGTTGGAGCGCGATCACGAACTCGATGAAAGATTGCGGCAGGAGTTGCACAAGAATCGGGAAGGCAACAGGGAATTTGTAAAGATGCAGGTCAGATTTGCCAATTTGTCACAGAAATGTACCCCGCGATAGACACTCACACACTCCACTTGTCTTATAGTCAGCTGACAGTCACACTCACCAGACACCCACCCCTCACCTAACACTCTACACTCTCCATTCATCTGACAGTCATTTATCACTCACCACTCACCCATCAATCACGGGATGCAACTTATACTCAGTGATGATTCATCAACACTGGGGAGCTTTCTAATTGGTCTGTGATGATGGACACGGAAGGAACAGTCATATTCGAATGCATACATTTATTAACCATGACATTGTTATGTCAACTGTCCTTATTTTACAAGGTTGTAATTTACATTTTCGACTCATTTACAGGAGTTCCGAGAGAAGTTGCCTGCTTATAGAATGAAACGGGTAAGTGGACCGAGTGAAACATTGTAAACGTAATTTAAAACTGTCGATAGACACCAATAATCCCATGAATATATAAAATCGCATGTCAAAAAGGCTTTGACAACTTTATATATATTATCATCTTTCATTGTCCATCCACTGCTGGATGAAGGCCTCCCTCCACCTGTCACCATTCTTTCACAGTGCTGAATGTACGCATGTTGAGCTTCTTTCGCACCGTACATCGCCAACCATGCTAAGCGGAGGTGCGGACGATGGTACAATCCATTTCATTCCTGCACATGAGCTGATCTTGGCACTGTCCCCGTACTGGTCATCCTCAATGCAATGGCTTGCTCAGCACTCTGACCTCTGAGCCATCCAGCCATCTCCACCCTATACAACATTTAAAATTAGCCCCCAAAAGCTAATAACAATTACAGTACCTGCAAATTACTCAACTGGGATTACGCAAAAGTAATCGTCGCCCCCTGCCAACAGAACTAATGCCCACTTGCAGGCCGTTCCTGAGTCGCCCTGTGCCGCACAGGGACAGCTGCCGCTGGGGGGTGCCCTTTAAATGTTTGAGATGAGATGTAATGTAAGGCGAGATGCTTGTATATTTGGAGTTTGCATGTTCTCCGTGTGGTGGTGTGGATTTTTTTCCGGGTCCTCCGGTTTTTCCCTCCACATTTAGAAACATGAGCTTGAGTATTTGGCTGCTATAAATTTCCACTTGACAAGCCATTTCGTTGAGCCATCATTTGTTATCGCCAGGTCACTTCTGAAAAAGAGCTTTGTCGCTTAGTGAGCCTCATACAGCGAGTGCTGTACGAACGCAGAAACGGCCGTTTAAAATTGTAAAAAATAAAAAACCTGTGCCTCGTCGAAATCGCAACGCAGGACCTGCTGGCGTTGATCAACAATCACCGCGTGGTGGTCATCAGCGGGGAGACGGGCTGCGGCAAGACGACGCAGGTTCCCCAGTTCATCCTCGACGACCAGATCGAGCGCGGCAAGGGCTCGGCGTGCAGGGTGGTGTGCACGCAGCCGCGCCGCATCAGCGCCATCTCGGTGAGTGGCGGCGGCCGATCGTTGGTGGTCCCGGCCAGCGGGGACTAAAGGAAGTGCAGATTAATTCGTAACGACAAAAGTCCCGCGCCGTCTAAACTGCGAGCGTCCTTGCCCGGCATTAAAAAAGTATAGTTGTATACAAACGCATGATGCATTGTTTCCATATGTATGTTTAACTTCTTTTGCAGTGTACGTAGCCAACCGTGCTTATCGGAGGTGCGGGGAACTGGAGAGTTGTGGGTAAAGGCATGGAAAAGCAGAAGTTTTTGTTTTGTATTGCCACAAATTGAAGCAAATATGGTTTTAGCCCATCGGCGTATTCGCTTCCAAAACCAGCTTTAAAGCCAGTAGGCCGCCCAATGGACCAAAACATATTTATTAAAAGCGCGTCGCAACCCTTGCAGCGCCATGTCGTCATGCAGGTTGGGATGTAACTTTATTATCGTTAAGTAAACACTTCCGAGCACGAAGCATGGTCTTTCTCCCCTGTTTTAGGTTGCGTCTTTAACCGTTAAGTGCCTTTAAAAGTGATTCTTGCTGCATGCGTACTCTAGTAGTCGGGATTAAAATTAGTGAGCGCCGGTGAGTGAGTAATGAGGGTGAGTGACAGGCGAATAGTGAGAGTGAGCGACAGGTGAGTAGTGAGAGTGAGCGACAGGTGAGTGGTGGGTTTCTGGTGAGGAGTGGCTGCCTGGTGAGTGCGACTGTCAGGGCGGGAGTGGAGAGAGCGTGCCGTCCGGCCAGGTGTGGTGCTGACCACCCACCCCCTCGTGTTCACAGGCACTGCTTGCTAACGGCACTTGCCCCAGCAGCCTGTTGAGGCTGCGCGGGGTGCCTTTGTCTTTTTGGAGAGAGCGAATCGAGCCGCGCGTGTTTTTCGGTCTCTGCGTGCAGGTGGCGGAGCGGGTGGCGGTGGAGCGAGCGGAGAGCTGTGGCAATGGGAACAGCACGGGCTACCAAATCAGATTACAGAGGTGAACGCCCCACTTCACGCTGCCTTGCAACTCGAGCCCAGCCCAAAGCCAATTTGCAAGTGTCCCCCCGCGCTAAGCGTTTGCGAGGCTCCGTAAATTAAAAGTGTGCGTCGTGTGCGATTAACGACCGCACTCCCTGCGATCGAGAGCTCCGCTTCGAGGGGAGAGATTGCGCCCTTCAGTTTGGCGCGGTTGACATTTGAAGCGGACCGTGACCCTCTAAAGCAGTGGTTCTTAACCTTTACTGCAGCCTTGCACCCCTTTGGTTCTCAGTCGTACACATTTTATTTTTATCATGTTAATAGATATATAGGTTTGATGAGACAAAGTCGTTGTGCTTACGTGCCCGTGCTTGATTTGTGTTTCGATGATTTACCTTCTAAAAACATCTGGCCATGTCTCGCACCCCAGAAGGGGCATCTCACGCCCCATCCGTGATCCGTGTATGAAACAAATCTCTCGAGACGCCGGTGTATGGCAGCAAGAGCAGTTTATGCGAATCCTGTCGCCAGTGGTCCCACGTTTGGTGCAAAGCTCCTTCGCTCACTGTGCTTGATGAATGAATGAATGATAGATGTTCTGAACCCGTGCATGCTTTCGCCTTTGCCGGGAAATTATTTTTCTCGATTCAGTGTCAAGTTTCACAATGCGCGATGTCGGTTCCACATAAAGTTGGAATTGCATTTCACAATTTATTTCTTCTCATGTTTGTGCTTTGCAATACAAATAGAGGTTACGTTAATTTTATTCAACTACAGTTCCCTCAACATAATCCTGCCATGAGAAATGTAATCTTTGCAATCTGTAATTCATGCAATGCACGTATTTTTCAAAGTTTTTATAAATTGGTCGAGCAAAGACGTAGGAACAGCTGGAGGCGGCCGACTGGGTTCAGTTCTAATGATTGCCCTGGCATATTCAGTAATAGAAGCTTTCTGAACCCACATCAATGTGAATTGCTCTATCAATTATTAAATGCCCTTGATGGGTCTGCAGTCATTATATGAGATCTCCGCTATTAGGAGACTCACCCCCAATCATTGGCAGGGCTTCAGTGTGGCTTGCAACTTGCCTCTCTTGCAAGGTTCACAGCGGATAGTAATTGTAATTGAAATACTTTTTAAAATAGTGTTCATTTTGTCTTTCTACATTTGGATGACAATGAATGTGTACTTTTTTTCCATAATGATTGGTAATTGGTTTGCATTTAAGCGTATTAAATTATAATCAATCCAGCGCTACATTAATTCCTCCACGCGACGTGGTGTTGGGGGGTGTTTTTTCACCATACTTCACCACACTGGGCAGAGTTGGTGAAAGGGGGATTGGTCCAGGACTGAATTGAATATATCACTTGCCACTGATGTTAGCTGTGGCCCAGAATCGAATTCAGATCACCGGTTTCACAGTGCATTGCACTAATCACCGCTCCCTCGCTCCACTCCCACATTTAAGTATATATAATATACTGGGGTGCCATGGTGGCGAGATGTTAACTACCTCGCTTGGTATGCAAGAGGTCGTGGGTTCGATCCCAACCCTGACGCCGATATATTTGAAGTTTGAATGTTCTCCCTGTGGTCCCGTGGATTTTTCTCCGGGTCCTCTGGTTTTTTCCTTCCACATTTAGAGTCAACATATACGTTTAGTCTATTTGGCTGCTATAGATTTTCACGTGACAAGCCGATTCGGTGAGCTATCATTGGTGGCCAGGTCGCTTCTGATTAAGAGCTGTATAGCTCCGTGGGCCTTACCTGGTAAAATAAAAAAATAGTTTAGTTTAATATTAACGGTGTATTGTGCTAAAGTTTGTAATATGAGCTCTTCAGAGCTGATTTGGTACGGCCCTTAATCAGTCCACTGCTGGATGAAGCCCTTCCCATGCCTTTTCAATCACTGGGGTTGTTTGACCATACTTCACCATGCCGATCAATGCAGTTTGGTGAAGGGCGGTGGGCCCAGCATCGAACGGAATATTGCTGACCACTGGTGTTAACCGGTGACCGGGAATCGAAATTCGGGTCACGCGCCGGATCCAGGGTGCTTTGGGCTATCGACCCCACCACCGCACACCACTCTGGGTAGCTGATGAACAACGTGTACATTTTTACACGAAAAAATATAAACACAGGATTGGTGAAAAAGACAAGTACAGCGAGTGTGTATCATACCAAAGGCATCGGATTGAGCGTGTAAGGGGAATAGTGACTTAGGTGTGCGTGCCCACCTAAAACTCAGCGACTATTTCCATGAGAATGGGATGACGGCTCGCGAATCAACAATATGCTCTTAACAAAAGCGCCGTCCCCTTATTGTTGTGCGTTTTGTTTTTTCGTGTAATCTCTTCCAGCCGGTTTCCTAGGAAGCAAGGTTCGGTCCTTTACGCCACAACAGGGATCGTGTTGCAGTGGCTGCAGACAGACCGGTAACGTCTCGGATGTCTTCTCTCTCGTTCGCTGCGTGTCGATTTTTTTGGGCCCAAACGCATGACGACTTTTTCTCGTGTACGTGCGGTGCAACGTCACGTGTCCCGACCGTCGAATATCTGCCGTGACCAATTAATCAATCGCTCCTAGCACAGTGTTTTGTGCTCGAAGGTATAACTGTAATTTTCTATAGATATTCACATTTTTCACGTTTTCACACATCCACCTATACTTCAGCCCCAGTGAGTCACCTATGCGATGTGCTTTGTGTATATTCTTTTGGTCTTTCGGTAAACTCGCGTAGAGCAAAAAAATGAACAAAAATCTACGACGTTTCGATCGCAACACAAGCAATCGTCATCCTTTACTGAAAGACCAAATAGAATATGAATTCCTGCAGTCACGAAAACTTTAAGTCAATGCTTTGTGTATGTTTAACTTTGAATAGACTACCCCTACTTGGTTACCAGGCAGAGTTAACAGCCTTTTACTCACTTCTACTTATCAATGACTGATTGCCTGTTTGAAGTCGGCTTCATTTGCACTCCTGCTGTAACGTACTCTCAAAAATACAACGATAGCAACACCACTCTCGACCAGGCCTGAGGAACCTATGGGCCCATGTGCTGGATACAACTTGCGACTTCTTTGCACACAACCCACAGCCACGTGAGAGCCCACCACTTTTAGACAGCCCACAAACGATACTGTACGTACGTATGTTGAATTTCTTGTATATATGTTAAACTTCTTATATTTATCCATAATGCAGGTTTTTTTGGCTTAGAGCGCGTAAATAGAAATGTGTCGTTTAAACCCGCCACCACCCGACACAGCCAACTAGTAAGGTTTGTCACGTAAACAGAACGTGGCCATTCGTCGCTAGTACAGCACACCGGTGTGTTGGAGAGCCAAGCCACAACATTTAAAAAACTGTTTGAGTTGGGGAAGAGCTGCGTTTAAAATTTGATTTGAAACAATCGGGAGAACTCGCAGACCGCCTCGGCCACGTCGCCCTCCAGAAGTCCTGACCGGCGAGCGCGACGGCGCGGCCGTGGGTCGTCGTGACGAGGCCGAGTGTCGCCGTGCGCAGGCTGCTCCGCGGCACGAGCCACCTGGTGCTGGACGAGGTGCACGAGCGGAGCCTGCAGTCCGACTTCCTGCTCACCATCGTGCGCGACGTCCTGCCCCACCGGCCTGACCTCAGCGTCATCGTCATGAGCGCTACGCTCAACGCGCAGATGTTTTCCCGATACTTTGGTGAGCTCCCGGCTGTCGTTGCCGTCCTGCACCCGGGGTGTATTTGAATGGTGTGTTATTTTAACGGTTGTGGTACGGCACTCAATACTTGGTTGTTAACTTTATTTTTTCGGTGGTATAGTGGTGGGTGCAGCGTGTTAGCGCACTGCGCTACGAACTTGGCAACCCGAGTTCAACTCCCCCTCACGGCCAACACCAGTGACGATTATGTAAACCGGTCCTGGGCCTTTCCTAAGTCTACTCAGCCTCAAATGAGTACCTGGTGCAGTGTGTAAACATCGCCACTGGGGAAACAAAGGCTGCCGGCCGTGGTGCTGGGCCACCCACCTCCTCGTGTGCCGTGCCGGCCTTTGTGGGATGCTCGCTAACAGCACTGATAGTTGGTTGTTGTTAACTTTATGTTTTTCAGGTGGCTGTCCCATCATCCACATACCCGGGTTCACTTTCCCAGTGCAGGAGTACCTCTTGGAAGATGTGCTCGAAATGACCAGGTATCCGTGCCATTCGTTGAGTTTCTTTAATAATCATGGTCTGAATGCACGTGCATTGGACAATAGGGGCCCCAGAGCCTCTGCTTATCTATTTTTAACGTTGTAAACCACTTTTAACACTTTACGTATGAGCAGAAAGCATTCACGCATTATCTGTCTTACCTGTGTCGATGACATGGGGTCACGATAATCTTTGTAATGATGATGCAACATGCATTTCCAAGTGGCGTATTGCTCTTTGGGAACTTACACGTTATATAAGAACCGTGGTTGCCTAAGACGCGGCAAGATAACAAAACGAACAGCGGTGAATGCGTGAGCCTTTTCAGCCTCGGTGGTGAGCTCGCGTGGGTGAGCTCGCGCGGCGTGGGTGAGCTCGCGCGGCGTGGGTGAGCTCGCGACTCGCCTGCCCCCGACAGGCCGCCGTTACGCGTGTGGTCATCTCGTCGTGTGGTCCGGGAGGCGGCTTTATCTCGCTAATTAAACGTTTCTGCGCGTCCGACGTTTCTCTTGTTTAGTAAGGCATTAGCCCAGTTGGTCACAGGAAAGATTGTGTGCAGATTATGTATGTGTACGTTTGTTGAAGTTCTTTTGCACGGTACGTAGTCAACCGTGTTCATTAGAGGTGCGGGGAAGGACAACAAACTTACGCAAAACGCATTCCTCAGCAAATTAGTTTTCAATCGAGATTTAAAAGTGTCGAAGCTCCAGTGGCTTCCTAATATCGTAGCGAAGGGCGTTCCAGACGGCCGCAGAATTGCACCTGAAAGCGTGTGATGCGGTGACCGTCTTTGTTCGATGGCCAGCAGCCAAAAGCCGCTGCGAGGATGCCCGGAGTCTGCGTGATTTGGTATGCTCCTTGACGAGAAAGCTGCAAGGTATTGTGGTTCACTTGTGGCAAGCACTCTGTGTGTAATGAGTCCGACCTTATAATGAGTGTGACCTTATCGTATGTATTGGTTTGCACATTCACACCCGGCATTTGTCCTGTAACTGCCACCACTTGCCAGTCTTCGGCTGTGGCCATCCATGTACAAGAGCTGCAGAACTCAGTGGACCTTAGCAGCTGATATGAAGTTCGAGTGTTAGGTGTGCTTACTGGATGGTGGTGACTACGGGCTACACTCAGGAGCGTTGTTTAGGCTACAAGAATATTCCGCTTCTGATAATAATGAGGTCGACATTTTTCAGTAACCTTTGGGAGGTAAGGCACATGGTTGATATTTTAACTTGAATCCGCGTCTCGTGTTTGACACCTCGTTGTGTCTGCTTGCCAGCAATCAGCGGGAGAAAGTGGGTGTCAATGTGCAGAGGTCACCGGGAACCCACGGAATATTAGAGGTGGCTCTGTCGCTCCAGCTAATGCTGTGCGACTCACCGGCCTGGCCACTTGTAAGTTCTGGGGTTCAAACCGGGCTCTCAGATTTAGTTAATTGATGGTGTCAGTGTGGTAAATTTTGAGAGTTAAATGGGTATATGCTGGCTCGTAGAACTTTCCAACATCATAAAATGAATATTTTTTTTGGCAGTGCATATTAAAATGTACATCACCAAATGTGCGAAAGAGGCATTTTGGAGAAACAGGTAGCTCACTCGGATGCATCTCGTGTTGCCGTGTGCGTGTGTGAGTACCTGCAACAGGCGCCGTGGTGACGTCACCATCACTTCGTGGTGAATGGTGGCGGGTATGGGTTTGAATAGCCGGTGCGTTGTGTAAACATCGCCACTGGAGGGACAAAAGTGGCCGGGCGTGGTGTTGGCCACCCACCCGCTCGTGTGCCGTGCCGGCCTTTGTAGGCGCCACTCGCTAACAGCACTTGCCCCTACAGTCCGCTAAAGGCTATACGGGGTGGGGGACCTTTGTCTGTGTGTGTGCAGGTACTGCCCACTGCAGCGGCCGCAGCAGAGGTCACGCCGGAACCTGTTCATGCACGGGCGGCAGCGGCGGCAGGCCGAGCAGGAGATGCAGCAGGAGTACGAGCAGCGCTGGCCCGAATACCTCGACTCGCTGCACGGGAAGTGCGTCTCCAGCGGGAAGGGTGGGGGGGGGCGGCGGGAGGGGCGCGATGCCGCACACACTCACAAATCTGATGATGCTAGTGGTCATTATTGGCGATGGTAAATGTTGTGGATTTGCTCTCCAACACACCGGTGTTGCTGTCCTAGTAACGAATTGGCACATTCTGTTTAAGTGACAAACCTTACTAGTTGGCTGTGGGGTGGTGGCGGGTTTAACGACACATTTATATTTACCCGATCTAACCCAAAAAAAACCTAGATTATGGATGATATTGGTCGCGAAAGCCTACATGTTCAACTCTCGCGTGTCCACTGAACATTTTGTAATTGGTTTCCACTTTTGTCTTGTGCCAGCATGCAACGTCACAGCACCAGCATCCTGGCACGCTCGAGTAGTGATGGGCACAAAGACGTTAGGAGTGCAACATAGAGAAGCGAGTCTAAATGTAATAAATACGTCGAGTGCGTCAAGTGTTAAAAAAAAAAGCGCAACAACAATGCTGACAATGTACACGTGGCCACCTTGGCAGGTATTCCATGAGCACCGTCCAAGCGCTGGAGATGATCGACGATGAGCTCATCGACGCAGATCTCATCGCGGCACTCATCCGCCACGTCGTGCTGCACGCGGAGGCAAGGCCATCGCGGCGCCCGCCTACACCTCCACCTCATCCTCACCCTTCATTGAAAATTATCTCATTTCAATTAGCACCCCCACCCTCCTACCCAGGGTTAATCGATTAGCTTTGTCCCCGTCTAGAACGGTGGAGAGGGAGCGGGGGGAGGTGATGTTTGTTGCTTCTGATGAAAGCGACCTGCGTGGGTTGAATGAGAATTAATTGAGGCGAATGAGCTATGAAAGCGATTCCTGGTCGGTTCGGAAATGCTATGGTCGTAGTGGGTTCGGACGCGAGCTTCCCAGGCAGCAATTCGGTCAGCAGCGTATCACCGCTCCGCCAATCACCGCTCAGCGCATCACCGCTCAGCACATAACCGCGTTGCTAATAAGAGCCTCCTCGCAAACGAACTGAGCCTTGCGACCCCTGACCCCGTTGGCATGGCAACATGTGAGCGGTACATCTCACGGGACTGCCAATTAAAATAAGCCTCCCCCAGTGATTGTTTTGGTCCCTACCCCCCCCACCCCGAGCGAGGCCCCATTGATGTGAGACACAAATGGCCATATGCGACGGATTTTCACGGCTAATTGCTTTTATTATTTTTTTACGCGGATATCTGCAAAGGGCAGCATCATTAGGGACATGTGCAATTTACGATAAGGTCATCGCTTGATGGGGGCGCACAGTGACCTGCCCCTGCTGAGAGGTCGTTTTTGTCTTTAACGGGTGGACTCGGGTAGCAGCGGTGTGGCGATACTACGATGTAAGCTCCACGATAATCGTAACGTCCGTGTTGCTGAATATCCAGCCAGGCTGTAAACTGGCACCAGCAGTTGCCCGAGTTCTGCTGTCCTCTATATATTCAGATGTTTTCAAGCATTAATGTGTTTATCCACGCATGATAATTTGTATCCCCTTCATTTGGCATGAGGTCATCAACAGCAGCTCTGTTCTGTCCACTGCTGGATGACAGCTCTCCCCACATGGCCCCGTGACCCCGCAATCGGTGTCTCTCCTGCACATGCGCCGGCCTCGTCCCAGCATCCCCGCAGAGGTCATCCTCTTGGCTGTCCCGCCCTTTGGCTGCCATTCCATCATCTTTCTCTACCCACCTGCTGCCATCCTTCGGAGCAGTGCGTCCTGCGCAGGCTCACGGTCCCCCGCGGTGGATGCCGGCATGCCGTGTCGTCGCCGTGTAACACCAATGGCAAAGCGCCGTGGTGATGTCACCGTCACTCAGTGGCGAATGGCAGCTACTGCTGCTGTACGTTGCGTGTAATGCACCGTACAACATGTTTACATGCGGACCGTGTGCCGTGTGATAGGACGGAGCCATCCTGGTGTTTCTGCCTGGCTGGGCTGACATCAGCAAGCTGCACACAACTCTCACCGCAGACCAGATGTTTAGTGCAGGTACTGTGCAAGCTGCACACAACTCTCACCGCAGACCAGATGTTTAGTGCAGGTACTGTGCAAGCAGCACGCATCATCACTCCAGACATTTGAAGCCCATCCTTCACCGCACGTGGAGAGGCCACGCTCCCTCTCTGGCCTCTCCTGTGTGCTCTGAAGTAGAGCTATTGCCCGCAATGTCACCTATTGTAAACTTTGTAATGCCGCACTGTTATTATCAAATGCGAGTTGTAACTTTCTGCCCCGCCCCTACTGGAGATCTGTGAGAAAGAGCGTTATAGCTCATCGGATTCCTCCTGCAGCCTAAATAATGATTCTGAGTTTCCTCGTGACGGCAATGATAGGCATGGAGCGCCCTCTGCCGTGGCCTGTGTGTATGTGTCTCTCCTCATGCAGTTTAAACACTCGAACCCTTATTGTAGTGATGAGCAACAGATGGGTTGTACATAGGAATGATAAGCATCAGAATACTGACACATGTATTATTAATCTACATGCTTACATACCTCAGTCCCAAGCGAGTCAGATGTGCAATGTTGGATTGCTGGTGGTGCCGTAATAAATAAATAAATTATCTTCGGGAATAACTAAAAAAAGGCATCGTTTCTTGAACCACATCCCCACCTAGAGGATGACGCATTATTGAATAGCAAGTGTGGTTGATCGTCGGTACGTGCGTACGAGATGAGAGATGTTAGATTTGTTTGTTTAAATGTTTTTTAATTGTAACAACGCTACAACGCTTCCGAAGTGCAAACGCGCGTAGCTTTTTCAACAGCGCTTCACAGTTGATGCTTTTCATTATCGACCGTGCGCATGCCTCCGTTTGGTTTTGAAAACGCATTGAGCTTGCTTTACTTTAGCGAGCAACTGTACGTGTAGAACTCACCAACTAACCGACGTGAAACCTGCATTTTTACAGAACATTTCATCATCATCCCTCTGCACTCTCTCATGCCTACAATCAGCCAAACGAAGGTACCGCCTCTCTCTTTCTCTGGCCCGTTCGCTCTCCCACTCACATAGCCTAGCCTCGCTGACGAGATCGGTGCGCGCCACTTTATAGCAGAGGTCGCAACCGGGTACCCGATACCCGTACCCTACCCGATACCCGGCTACCCGTACCCGGCCGGGTACGGGTACCCGTTTGCGACCCTGGTGCGGCTGGGTACGGGTACGGGTAGGCCGTGAGTCACTGGTGAGTAACCGTTTGTCACTCATTTCCCAACGTCTTGTTTCTTCTCACAATTCAAGTTCCTAGAATCAACCCACCCGCGCCAGCAACATGGCTTCATCCCAGAGGTCGCAATCGGGTACTCGTACCAGTACCCTACCCGATACCCGGCCGGGTACGGGTAGCCAGGTATCGGGTAGGGTACGCGTACGAGTACCCGTTTGCGACCCTGGTGCGGCCGGGTACGGGTGCGGGTAAGGAATCAAACCCCGTTTGCGACCTCTGCTTTGTAGTAGCCGCTGAGCGTACCCCGCGATTTTGCAGGATGGCACTTTGCTCACGTGTGGCGTGTTGTTCGTGTTGTTCGCATGCTGGCGACGCCTGCGACAGGTGTTTGAGAGGCCTCCGCCTGGCGTGCGCAAGATTGTCATCGCCACGAACATCGCGGAGACCAGGTGCGCGCGTGTGCGCGCGTGCGTGTCGTGAAAGGGGGAAGAGTGGGTTGTGTGTTGTGTTCCGACTGTAAACCACGGGCTCAGGGATCTAGGTAGGAGATGTTCACCGCATGATTTCTCATTTGAGTTGCAAACAGCTCCCCTTTTTTTACGATTAAAAAATAATCCAACGACGTCTCAAAGAATCCAATATCCCAAAGCCGTCTCAATCTGAAACTCAACCCCACTAGACGTGTACATATATATATCTACACGCGTTTGTTTTACGTCAGGGTTGCCGTTGCCCTTAAATAATATTAATTGACATTGATTTGTAAAGTCGCCTTCCACTAAACACCGCTCCTTCCATCGTGCCGCGCGCCCCCTCGCACCGCAGCATCACGATCGACGATGTGGTGCACGTCATCGACTGCGGCAAGATCAAGGAGACGCACTTTGACGTCGACAACAACATCTCCACCATGAAGCCCGAGTGGGTGAGCCTGGCCAACTCCAAGCAGAGGCGGGGACGTGCTGGCCGGTACGCATGCACACACACACACACACAATACAAAGACAAAGATCCCCCGTGTAGCCTTAACAGACTGTTGGGGCAAGTGCCGTTCGCGAGCACCTATGAACCACGAGGGAGTGGGTGGGTGGCCGGCACCACGTACGGCCACCTTTGCCTTCCCAGTGGTGATGTTTACTACACACCGCACCAGGTACTCATTTGAGGCTGAGTCGACCTAGGGGAGGCCCAGGACCGATTCAGATAATTGTCACTGATGTGGGCCATGAGCGGGAATCTAACTCGGTACACCGGGTTTGTAGCGCAGCGCACAAACCTGTTGCACTACTGCTCCCCATGTACACACACACGTGCACACAAACACTAAGATCCCTTAACACGTAGGTCACACTGCGGAGGGTTTCATTACGGCATTTTTGTCCAGAGCATTACGTGGCCTAAACCAAAAATCAATGATGAATCCCGAAGACACCCTGGGTAGCCTCAAACGAGCGCTGTCGGTGATAACCCGGTAAAGCCGGCACAGTGGGGGGGCGTTGAATTAAATGTCTGTGTGTGTGTGTGGTGTGCAGAGTTCAAGCCGGATTCTGCTATCACTTGTACAATGGGCTGCGAGCTAATATGCTGTCTGACTACCAGCTCCCCGAGATGCTCCGCACGCCACTGGAGGAACTCTGCTTGCAGATTAAGGTCAGAAGATGAATCTACCAAGGCACCGCACATGCAGTCACACACGCCAGCTAAGAGAGGACGACGAGGCGATGCTGCGTTGGCATTGCACGTCTGTATGTATATACAGTAAAACCTTGGATTGCGAGTAACTTGGTCTGCGAGTGTTTTGCAAGACGAGCAAAAAATATAAATAAATATTAACTTGATAAACGAGCGAGGTCTTGCAATACGAGTAGTACGTATATACGCTTTGTCTGCCGAGCCTCACGTGATCACAACTGAGCTGATGGTTCTTCTCTCTCTCGCTGCGGGATTGTGGGTAATCGTCTCCCATGCTCAGTCTCAGTCGGCGTGCCTCTTATAGTCAACATCCGTGCGAGCGTACACTGTTTACTATAGTGTTGTGACATTTCCACGAAATCCTCAAAAGGAGGCAAAAGCAAGTGTCATTGGATATGTTCCTTGTTAAAGTTGCACAAAAAGAAAAAGATTCCAGTGAGCCAACAGATGGCAGTGAATCCGTTAGTGACAGTGAAAGTCGTCCTACACAATAACCCTCCTCTCCTCTCTCTCATCTCCCTCACACCAGCCACGATTAAATTTAATTAATACATTTCATTACTTGAAATTATATTAAATAATTAAAATGTTAAAAGTTTTTTTGTATGAATATTTTTTATATTAATATTTTTGGGTTGTGGAACGAATCATCTGAGTTTCCATTTTTTCTTATGGGGAAATTCGCTTTGATATACGAGTGCTTTGGATTACAAACACGTTTCCAGAACGAATTATGCTCCCAATCCAAGGTTTTACTGTATATACAAATAAATGAGCAACATATTTGTGGCCATGAAAGGTGACCTTTTGGGCAATGGCACTTCTTCATAGCACATGGATAAATTGGTCAGCATTACCCACGCTTTACTCCACCACAGACGGCCTGTTGATGGACTGTGATGTACCAATCGGTACTGCGATGCGGACAGAGGTGGGCGGTTGGTGTGGGAGGGCGAATGGGGGGACTGGATTTAAGAAACTTTGATCGCTTTGCAATGCTGTGCCCATTAGATTTTGAAGCTGGGTAGGATCGAGGATTTCATGAAACGGACGATGCAACCCCCTTCAGAGCAAGCCGTGCTGCTGGCCATCACCAACCTCATCGGCCTGGTGAGTTGCCCCGTCCACGCCACCGGACAATCGCATCGCCCGAATGTCAATTATTTAATCAAATAAGGGATTTGGGTGAATGCAGGTGGACCGGTTGGAGTCCGTCCGCATTTGCTTTACAGCCTCTGAGCGAGCCAAGATATGGCTCCTCCTCGACGCCCACGGGAAGGGAGTTGTATGATATTCGTTTCGCGGCCCGCCAACCCTCGCTGCCGCCGTCCACAGCTCTGGACCGCTGGCGCGCATAGTCACCGCCACCACCGCCCGCCCGGCGTGTAGTAGAACAAACGTCGGGTCTTATGACGTCTGATTGTGCTCGGCAGAATGCGTTGAGCCGCGCGGAAGAGCTCACCGCGCTGGGATTCCACCTGGCGCGGCTGCCCGTGGAGCCGCACATCGGGAAGCTCATCCTCTTCGGGGCCATGTTCAGCTGCCTTGACCCGGTGCTGGGCATCGCCGCCTGCCTCGGATTCAAGGATCCGTTTGTCATCCCTTTGGTAGGTGGTGAAAACACCAACAGCAAAAAGGAAGAAAAATAATGCATTCGTTCATGAGTTGTGTCACAGTATCACACGTGCGTTTGTCCTCGAAAGCATTTAATTCGTGATAAAATGTTATCTTCCGAGCCGCACGACCAGATGGCGTCAGGTAGTTTGTGTGTCCTGTCGTGAGATGACGTCGCACGTAACGGCGTCACGGGGCGGCGCGTTCGTGGCATATGACGTCGGCGCCTTTGCCGAAAAGGCATCTATTTAGCGCTGGATTTTCTATCCATGTTTTAGGCAACTCTTTTATCAATTTGTCCGTTTTTATACAGGGTAAGTTCCCAGTAGCAACAGCTTTGTGCAGACATTTCATGTCTATTGGATCAACTTTTACAGGAGTTACCGTGACCCCGTGCGTCTCTCCTCTGTGACTCACCCATACATCTCTCTTGTACGTCTCTCCCATGTGTCTCCCCGTGTGTCTCTCCCGTGCGTCTGCCCCGTGCGATTCCAGGGAAAGGAGAAGCTCGCGGATGCCAAACGGCGGGAGCTCTCCCAAAACTGCAAGAGCGACCACTTGACCATTGTGTACGCCCTGCAGGTGAGTTTCCCCGCACATGAGAGATCATGAGCCGGCTGTGTGGGCACAGATCGCCACAGCTTCCTGTTTTCGTTTCTCTCGCTTCCACTGCCAGCTTCTAACCTCCAGCATGTTTACGACTGGGGATCTGCAGCTTTTACAGGTCGCCGCGTTGCACTATTGTCAAACAAATACTATAAAACATATTTTTTTATTTTACCAGGTAAGGCCCACTGAACTATATAGCTCTATGTTTAGAAGTGACTTGACCACAAATTACGGCCCAATTAGTGGTTTATCATGTGGACATTTATAGCAGCCGAATACTCCAAATGCATTTTTCTAAATGTGGAGGGAAAAATTTAAGGACCTGGAGAAACATCCACGTGGCTACGGGGAGAACACGCAAACTCCAAATATACAGCAGCAGGCGTCATGGTCAGGATCGAACCCACGACCTCCTCCATACTCGGCGAGGGAGATAACATCTCGCCACCAAGGCGCCCTTGTAAAAGGTAAATAAAGGTGCAGCCCTGCAATTTCTAGCTCGCACCTCTACTAGATTGAGCTCTTAAAAGAGTCCATTTTAGAGTAACGCTCTAGAGAGCCCACTCTAGAGGGTATTTGGCCTACTCTTTCACACTGGCCAGACACGTTGCACATGTTGGAAGTGCGCACATTAACACCACCACACGGGACCTTCCGGTTGACTGTGATGTTCCCATTTATACAGCTGGGTTAGGGGAGGGATTATTAGAAACCTGCTCCGCTGTTGAGCATCCACGCCGGGTGACTGAATCGAAGTTCCCCGTGAGTTGGCCAGCGTGTGCCAGGTGAGGGGCCGTCGAGTGAGGTGCCGTGTTCCTTTCTTGGCCACGCAGCGCTGGGAGCAGGGACGGCGGGGTCACGGCCGGTCGGTCAACGACTTCTGCTGGGAGTACTTCCTCTCCCAGAACACACTGCAGGTCAGTAGTGGTTGTTGGTGGATGCCGAGCCGTTGTCACTTCCGTTTCAGTCAGAACGTGCGCGCCCCGGTGCGTTTGTACGTGTGACAGTATGTGCGTATTCTAGATTAGATTTTTTCGTGACTGCAAGGATTCATATTCTTGGGTTTTTTCGGTAAAGTCACGTAGGTAAAAAATTCAAACTAAAATTAATAAAAGTAAAATAAAAATTACGACGTATGTGCGTACTATGTATGTTCGTACTATGTCTATGTATGTTCGTACTATGTAAATGGCGGAGAGGTAGCACAACGGATAGTGCGCCACGGTATAACTCCAGCAACCTGAGTTCGATTCCTGGCAATGGCTATCTGGACTTGTCCTGGGCCTCCCCTCAGGTCGACTTGAGTGGGTACCTGGTGCGTTTGTGTGTAAACGTCGGCACTGGGAAGAAACGGAGGGCCGGGCGTGGTGCTTGCCACGCCTGATAATCAGGTGCCACGCTTGTTTTAATAGATGCTCGCAAACAGCACGTGCCCCAACAGTCCATACACAAAACAATGTTCCCCCTCTGAAAAATGTGAACTGGGCGCTTCACTGATGTTGCACTGCATAGAAAGTGGAAAACTTTAGGCGCGATGGAGTGCTTCATATTGTCATATCCTCCCAGAGATATAATTACTTACCGCAAGCATCGGGTAATCTTCAGGACTTAAGTGCCCTGTGTAGAGATAGGAAGCCCAAGTCAATACTGAACCAATGCCCTTATTTACTCCTGCTCCACATTGTTTCCTGTCCCGCCCAAAACAAGTCCTCAAGTAAATTCCAGTTTTTTTTTTTTACGCGCGTGGCGTCACTGTGGGACATTGTGCTCAAGTGGCGCGGAGGATGTCATAACTATTTTTATCCCACTTGTTGCGTGACAGCGCCACATCGTTGCTCGCTGCTCCGGAGTCTCGTTCCACAGCTCTGTGTCACGCGTCGTTGGAAGGGCGGGCCTGGTAGCTAAGCCTGCCCGGCCTCGGGCAGTTCTGCCGAATGCTAAGAACACAATTGCGCTGGAATTCGTTCGACATCTCGTCACATATTTCTTCCCTGCGCCGCGCACGATGAAAATTTCATATCGACCGACTGGTTCTGTCACATTTTTTCAATTTTAAATGAACCGTATTTTCCGGTTTACAAGACGCCCATTTTTTTCCCCCTGGACCACTGGACAGGTTCTGCAGGATTGGAAGGATGCCCTGGTGGTCCCCCTCTTTAAGAAGGGGGACCGCACAGACTGTAACAACTACAGGGAAAGGTCCTGGCAAGGATTATTCAACATCGCCTTGCCAGGCACGCAGAGGAGAGGCTTGGAGACCGAATGTGGTTTCAGGCCAGTGCGGTCCTGCACAGATGCCATATTTTCTGTCCGTCTGCTACAGTAGAGGTGTAGGGAATTCTGACAGGACCTACATCTCTGCTTTATTGACCTGGTTAAGGGCTATAATACCTTAATAGGCCTAGGGTCTGGGTTGTTCTTCGTGCTCTCGGAGTCCCTGACTATGCTCACAATCATAAAGGACCTTCATGATGGTGAGCGGGCCTGGGTAAAACTATGTGGCCGGGAGTCAGAGCCATTCCCTGTTCACCTTGGGGTGCAACAGGGATGTCCTCTGGTTACCACATTATTTAACATCTTTTTACACCACGTGGTTCATGAAGCCCCTTGTATGGCTGTACCGGAGGAATCTCCATCTGGTACAAATACAATGGGAGGCTGATCGATGCCCAGGTGCAGTCAAGGGATGGCTCCCTATTGGTTAACCATGTTATGTATGCCGATGATCTGGTAATTTCTGTTCAATCAGTGGAGGAGTTGGAAGCGCTGCTGCTGAACCTGTAGCGTGCCACTAAGAGGTGGGACCTTACCATCAGCCCCACCAAAACTAAGCACCTGCCTGGGTATTTTCTACCATCATACACTCCACTCCCCACAATTCCCAATTGGTGATGGGGCAGTTGTGGAGAGAGTGGAGAGTTTTCCGTACCTTGGCAGTGTGCTCATGACCGGCTCCGGTTTGACAGCAGAGGTCTCACTCCGAATCAGTCGAGCGGCATTATCTTTTCATCGGTTGCGTAACGCTGTGTGGAAGCTACCTGGTCTGTCACTCCACACGAAGCTTCAGGTCTTCTTGGCCACAGTCATGCCCTCCCTTCTCTACGCTTGCGAAACATGGACCCCCCTAATAGAACATCTTCGCCGGTTAGAAACATTTTGGGTGGCCTGCGTACAATCCATCCTGGGTCTGTGGAGGAGGCTCGTGAAGGACGCTGCTACTGGGCAGTTGGAGGCAGTCGCTCTCCAGCAACAACGGAGGACAGAGGAGTGACACTCACAACAACGAGCGGAGCGCCAGGCAGCTAAAACACAGCAATTTGGCACATTAGGGGGCACAGGTGGTGCATTGGCAAGTCATCTCAGTCAGTCAACCCATGGCACCTCGGTCTGTCCTGTGACCTCCTGCCAGCAGCCATTCGACACTTCTCATGGCCTTAAAGTGCACTTAGCCTGGCACAGGCACCGTGGTGATGTCACCGCCGCTTATTGGCGAATGCCGTTTGTTACACGTGTGTATGTGCACGTGTGTGTGTGTGGTCAGATTTGTATAACTCTTGACACCACACAAGTTAGGCGTGTGTGCAATACAATCGTCGAAAGTTTCCATTTTGGTCATAGTGACTTTAAGCATGAAAATAACAACTTGCTGTGATGATGCCTGATCACGTAAACTCAGCGCTGAAGTAAAGTGTGGGTTCTTCTGCTTCTTCCGAGACATCTGCCAGTGTGGAAAAGTTGCCCAAATAAATACCGTTTATAAAAAGGCTCTCATTACAGCGATAAACTGGCTTGCTCCTGATGCAGTTTTTGAAGTTGTTGTCCTCTGCATCTACATCAGCCATACAAAAGAAAGAAGAACAGCCTCGCCAGAACTCCCGCAAGTGGGTTAGGCCCCTTCCGCAATCAGTGGCGTGAACAGACAATTGCAGGGCTGCGCCTTTACCTTTCTTCGTGTTTGTGGTGTTATGACGGAGTGGGGGGGGGGGCGAGAGCCGTGCTGTGTGTCTGTTGGGGAACGGTGGCGACGTTGGCTCTGGTGCGCGTGCGTCTCTCCCCTTGCAGATGTTGCACAACATGAAGGACCAGTTTGCGGAGCACCTACAGGCGGCCGGCTTTGTGGACAACAGCAATCCCCGCGACCCCAAGGCCAACCTGCACTCAGGTACCACCGCCACCCCCCCCCCCAACCCGGGCAACCGTCACGGTCACCGCGCGTTGGCGCCGTGGGTGGCAAGATGTTAACTACCTCGCCTGGTATACAGGAGGTCATGCGTTTGGTCCCGACCCCGAGTTTGCATGTTTTCCCCGTGGTCGTGTGGATTGAGAGTTATTTGGCTGCTATACATTTCTACATGATGATTAGCCACTTCGTTGAGCTATCATTTGTGGCCAGGTCGCTTCTGAAAAAGAGCTACATGGCTCAGTAGACCTTACCATGTTAAATAAAATAGAGTTTATTTTTTTATAATTGATATTGTATTTAATTGTTCTGTTTTCTATATATATTCTACAACTGTACAGAGGCACAAGGAAGCAGGTGCTGAGTTACACTTCCTGCAAATAAGTAAGAGCTAATATTTGCGGAAATCTTATTTTGACATTTTGGAAATTTGCTTCTGTGTTTCTGTTCACAAATTGGATCGTCACTCAACCGGTGGACCGTACAAAAATAACTGTTGTCAGAGGCATGGTCTAGCGTATTTGGACGATCGTCCTGTTAAGGATAATCGGCCAATACCACCTGGCCCTGTTTGTCGTGCGTCACTCGATTACGCATCGTGCAAAAGGGGCGACCGCTCTCAAAGGCCCTGCAGGGGACGCACGTACGTATGTCTGTACGTACGTATGTCTGTACGTACGTATGTCTACGTACGTATGTACGTTGAACTTTTTTCGCACCGTACGTAGCCAACCGTGCAAATCAGAGGTGCGGGGGAAGGACAACAAACTAGTTTTCAATTTCATATAGTGGTGTATTGTATAGTAGTGTAGTGTATAGCGTAGTGTGTGTAGTGTTTCGTGTAGTATGTATGTTGAACTACTTTTTTTTGCACCGTATGTCGCCAATTGTGCTAATGGAAGTGTGCGGGACGCGGCGTCTGTCTCGGTCGTTGTGCGCAGGCAACGAGAAGCTGGTGAAGGCGGTCATCTGCGCAGGCCTTTACCCTAAGGTGGCCAAGATCCGGCCCAGCTTCAGTAAGAAGAGGAGAGGGTAGGTGTCGCTTTGCCAGGCACTGCGATGGGATGTCGTCTAGACGGGCGACTCCCGACATGCGCTCCACACACCACTGGTCAAACCTCAAAACATTTTTCGCAGCTAGTGGAAAGCCACCTGTCCCCCGACGGCCTGGGGCCGGCCCGGCGTGGATGTGCCGGTGGCAGGGGGCGGGGGGGCGGGATTGTCTGTAATTGGCGGCGAGGTGAGGAAGGTGTTTGCTGCGCGTGTCCCGGCCAGGGTGAAGGTGTACACGAAGCCCGACGGCAAGGTCTCCATCCACCCCAAGTCGGTGAATGCCGAGGAGTCGGACTTCCGGCACCAGTGGCTCGTCTACCACCTCAAGCTCAAGACCACCAACGTGAGTCGGCCAAGTTCACTATGCCCACCCGGGGGTCTTCACCGTCTTCGTTCGGGCTTTGTGCGTTTAGTTTTTTTGTCCTTCCCCCACACCTACGATTAGCATTGTTGGCTACGTACGGTGCGAAAGAAGTTCAACATACATTAAGGTTGGGAGATTTTATTGATTTTAGGAGGAAGGGCTGTCTGGCTCTATTTCATGGGCCTCCTGAGAAGAGATGGGCTAGTTGGAGCACGCAAATTTTAATTAACCACGCGTGCGACTTGCCAATCGGCTGACTGTGGTGCACCAATTCACACCGCTGCGTGGACAGAGGTAGTGGGATTTTTAAGATAAAACTGGGAGCGTTGTTTTAACTGCTGCGCGAGGAAATCGAATCGAACTGGCGATCTCTGTATCGCAATATCAGCGTGTTAACCATGACACCATGGCAGTATCCCTCCAGCACAGGAGCCGATGTTCAACAGGCAGAGCCGTCCCGAGGGAGTGGCGAATCGGGGCGACTGCCCCGGGCTGGGATGGGGGCAGGTCCGCTTTTTGATGTCACGGTGTCAGTTGTGTTACTCCCGGTTTAGTTTGACTTTCGTCATCGCGCCCACACGGTGTGGGATTTGCCCCGGGCCCCACACCCCTCTATGGACGGCCCTGTCAACAGTTCCCGGTGTTTAGCAGGAGCCGAAGTTTAATCCAAATGAATGAATGGATGAACTCGCGGGATTGACAGATCTTCTTGTACGACTGCACGGAGGTGTCGCCTTACTCGCTGCTCTTCTTCGGCGGAGAGATCAGCATGCAGCGCGACCAGGACCAAGACACCATCTCGGTAGACGAGTGGATCGTGTTTCGCTCGCCCTTCCGCATCGCCTCCCTCGTCAAGGTGAGAGGACGCCTCTCCCGTAGCTGCCGCCCCCTTCTGTCTCGGCGGGTCCACGGCTCGCCTCCCCGGGCCCGCCACGGTTTAGCCGAACCTTAGCCCGTGACGCAGCGGTGATCGACCGGACCTGGTCCCCCACCGCTACAGCGTGGTCAGACCACCACCCCGTGACCGACTTGGCCGTCGGGAGGCCTTCATCCAGCAGTGGACTGACATAGGACTTTGAGTTTATTATTGTAACTTAACACGTAGGTTTCTCGCAGCTAATATGACAATTCACGTTCGATTTTTTTGGGTTAGGCCACGAAGCGATATGGCCAAATTTCTGTTGTAAAACGTCGTTCGTCATCTTACCGGTGAGTTGAAAGAACAGTCATAATAATTGGTGTGTTTAACGCTTGTATGCGTGACAATTTAATTTGTTTGGCTATGTCGGGGTGGTGGGGAGAGGGGTGTGGCATGGTGGAATGTCTTACAAAAAAGTTGGCCAGATCATTCCATGGCCTAGCCTGAAACTCAATAACGAATCAGGTTTTTATTATTATTACTTGATTATTATAATCAATGGTTCGCGGTAATGACCCCCCCCCCCCCACAACAGGACTTGAGAAAACAGCTGGACTCGCTGCTGGAGCAGAAGATCACGCGGCCGAGCCCCGTGGAGTGGCAGCGCGAATCGTCCGAATCGGCGCTCCTCAAGGCCATCATCGACCTCATCACCACGGAGGAGGGCGGGGGTGGGGGTGGGGGCGGTGGTGGAGGAGGGTTCGGGGGTGGAGGAGGGTTCGGGGGCGGGGGAGGGTTTGGGGGCCCGTCCCATCGCGCCTACTAGCCCGCCCGCTCACCCCGCTCACCCCGCTCACCCCGCTCACCCCGCTCACCCTGCCCGCCCTGCTCGCCTCGCTCATCTCGCTGTCTCACCCACGCACCCTCACACCGTCGGGCAGCAGCGCCGCCACACAACCCAGCAAATAAACACAGCCCCACCCTGCCCCGAGCGTAACCTCTGCATGAAACCTGACAGCCCCAAGCCAGGGGCCAGAGTACTAAATGTGTTCCCGATATTGTAGCGATGTTATAAGTTCGGTATGCGATTTAAAAAAAACATTAAATGAGCATTGCGATAATGGGCGTTCGTAAAAGTTACAAGAAGTTTTACGAGTGGCCAGGAGCATTCTACAGTGGATCGTAACCAAAAATGGATAACGTTAATGTCATAAACGTCAATAGGTTCTTGTCTTTGTGCCAGGCGATTGGCTGGTGCAGTGGAAGTGATGATGCTTTGCCTAGCAACGGCTGTTACGCGAATGAGAGTTACGATTTCTCGACGATCTACTTTCTCCTACGACATTCATGATCGTACTACAATCGTAGCCTGCCGCATATACAACAAATCTTAAGAGCATTTCCATACCTGTATGTTGAACTTATTTCCCACCGTACGTAGCTAACCGTTCTAATCAGAGGTGCGGGGGAAGGACAACAAACGAAACGCACAAAGAAGTTCTAAAGAAATAAGTTTTCAATTTTGATGTAAAAGTGCGTAGCTCCAGTGTCTTCCTACTTTCAGAAGCAAGTGCGTTCCAGACAACTGCAGAAGCGCATCTGGAAGCGCGCGATGCGGTGGCCGTTTTTGTTGGAAGGTTAGCAAAAGCCGCAGCAAGGTGACCATAGTTCCGTGTGATGGTTTATGCACCTTGAGATCAGCACGGTGTGCAATGTGTCTGTAGTGAGTGTGACCTTATAAGTAATGCGTGTGACCTCTTGTACTCTGGCCCCCAGATTTTGCTACAATTACGGCGACTCCCAGAGATCAGCCACGTATCCCCATGACCACTCCACAGTGTGTTGCCTTAATTTGCGACACAACTAATGCGCGCCTTCACACTTCTACTGATAATCTCGAGTAGAGATATCTGCTGTTCTGTAAGTTTACTTGTTGGCTGTTTGTGTTCAATGCAAGGGTTAAAGTTACAGACACACCCACACTGCTCTGTTGAAGTACACTGTAAGCGTCACCTGGCGCAGTTCTAACGATCACCCAATTTTTCCACTTGCCACACCCGAGCCACCCCAGCTCGGTGCCATCACGATACGACAGGCCGGTTTTTTCCTCCACTGGCCGGTTTATCCGTGCCGAGCCGGCAACCAAACCGTGACGCGCTGCCGGCCTCGCATCTGAATGTGGCTCGCGTGCCGAGCAGGGCCCCCCGGGGTGGAGCTCATGGGGCGCGTTGAGAGCGCGCAGCTGGAACGCGTCGCCGCGTCCTCCACGCGTCTCGCCTCGTTCGTCGCGTTTGGCGGCGGCGGCGGCGGCGCGGCTTGTGCGGTGGGAAAAACAACCTGGTCCACGCGGGGCTGGCTCGCCGTTGGCCCGGCTTGACCCGGTCACGCAGTGGGAAAGAGGGAGTATCGGTGAGAGGAAGAATAGAGCTGAAACAGGTTGATCTGGCACTGAGCCCACGTTCACACCTCTGCAGTCGTGCAGAATCCCGATAAACCGTTGCATTACAAGCTTTGAATTGTAAACTCAAAGCAAGGCTTTGTATATTGTTATAAATAAACTTGCTTTCAGACCAGTGTTTAATGCATATCTGGCGTGGCAGTTTATTTTGTTGTATCGACGTAATAAAATGAACACCCGTTGTTTGCAAACTGTAATCTTAATTCAGGAACAGGAGTGCACTTGACTGGTGGTCAGGCGTCGCCTCATCACCCTTCTATTGCTACTGGCGTGGTCACTGTTCCCGTGAACTTCACTTATTGATTCCTCCACCCTGATTGAGGACTCTTCTGACCAAACACCGACTGCTCCGTCTCATCCGCACTGTGCAGCCACCACCACCACACTGCAGGCCACAAAAAGACTCGCCCGTTTATGAACTCGCTCATCCACTCTCCACACTGCAGCTCGCAACAATTCACTGACCCACCCACTCACCCATCACACTGCAGGTCACAACAACTGACCCACCCGCTTACCCAACCACTCACCCATCACACTGCAGGTCACAACAATGGACCCACCCGCTCACCCACTCACATCACACTGCAGCTCTCAACAATTCACTGACCCACCCACTCACCCATCACACTGCAGGTCACAACCGCCCACCCGCTCCACTCACCCATCACACTGCAGGTCACAACAATGGACCCACCCGCTCACCCACTCACGCATCACACTGTAGCTCTCAACAATTCACTGACCCACCCACTCACCAATCACACTGCAGGTCACAACAACTGACCCACCCGCTCCACTCACCCACTCACCCATCACACTGCAGCTCACAACAATTCACTAACCCACCTCGCCCATCACATTGCAGCTCATAATTCACTAACCCACCCACTCACCCATCACATTGCAGCTCACAACAATTCACTAACCCACCCACTCACCCATCACACTGCAGCTCACAACAATTCACTAACCCACCCACTCACCCATCACATTGCAGCTCACAACAATTCACTAACCCACCCACTCACCCATCACACTGCAGCTCACAACAATTCACTAACCCACCCACTCGCCCATCACATTGCAGCTCACAACAATTCACTAACCCACCCACTCACCCATCACACTGCAGCTCACTACAATTATATCCTCGCACTGCTCCGCTTTGGGATACCCTCGTCTGTTCCCTCAAGCCCTCGCAACAACCTCGTTCGTTTTTCGAAAAGCGTGTCAGACTCTCGAATTCTGCCTTTTGCTACTGGCCGCTTGACGTTTTTGGCCTTTGCTGTAGCAAAATAATGTCGCGGAGTGGGTATACATGTGACATTTATTAAAATATACATTATATGAATGTACAATTGATTTTGGGCGCCATGCGGCCGTCTTAAAAATCCGAACTCGAAACGCTTCCCCGACGACTCCCGTCACGGACATTTTAAAAGAGCACTTTTTTGTTTGTTGCAAAAGGCCGTTTCCCTTAAATTGCATCGCGTTGCAAAGAAACGAGAGAGGGAGGGAGGGAGGGAGGAGAGGTATGGACCTCGGAGCACGAGAGTTGAACTACGGCAGCGACGAACGGCACGCTGGGTAGGTCCCAGAGTGCAGGCAGTAAGTTCTGGGCAACGTCGCGTATCCGACCGCTACGCATCCGCCGTGACCCAATTGACCCTGCCGCACCTCCAGGCCCTCTCCATCCCCGGAGGTCGAAGGCGCCTTCGTGAGGGTGGTGCCCGATTGGCCACCGGCGCGTTCCGTATCAAAATCAAATGTCTCTCGCACGACCACCTTGCATCGCTATACCCTCCTTTCAAGTGCTATTTGTGATTTTTTTTATTTCATAGATTATAAACAGGGTGCTTCAAAAACGTGTTTTTAACACTTGAGAATTTGCAACAACACCACAAGAAATGTGCCCTCTGGGCTCTGGAGACCACCTGGAGAATATTCCAGGCGTGCGTTGACAACGATGGCGACTTTTTGAAGCTATTGACACACATTTCTTATCACGTAACAGTGTATTATCCGTTCTTTTCCCATTAAAAACGACAGTCCCATATAAGCGTTAACATTTTTTTGAAGCACCCTGTATCGTCAACGTCCGCTTTGGCTTTTTTTTCTCTGTTCACGTCGCCCTGTCGCTGTCCGCGCGAGTGCATGTTGCTTGGCGTGTGCGCATCTGCATTTTTGGTTTGCGATTGTTGATTAAGTCGGTTGCGGCATTCTCCGGATCATAAAACGCAACTCTTCGCCCCTCCCACCACCCGCCCCCTGTATTCTTACAGCGTGAGGATGATGCATCTTATCATCCGGCACGCGTGTGTTTCGTCCTCTTGCCTATGCTATGACTATTCTGTTCGTTTACCCAGGAAAGCCTCACCGAGTCTTGGGACTCGCTGTCAGAAGGGTCCTGCCGAGTGTTGTTTACAGTCGCTGGGTGGGTGTTGTTGCTATCCAGCAGTGATTTTCATGGCGGGGGGGTGGTGGGGCACTTTTGCCGATAAGACATCGTCGGTGTGAGGGCCGCCACACCATTTGAAACCATTGGGGGGCTTCTGACAGCAGCACCACGATGGCGATGACGATGGTGATGGGGTTGTGTTTTCACCATTCATGTATTGCCGGAGGCCGCACTAAATGCCACCAGGGGTCCACAGTGGCCCACGGGGCCTTGCAATGAAGAACGCCCGTCTGTGCACAATCTCCATTCTGTATGGGGTTCCCTCGCTTTGTGCGCTAGTAGATGTGTCTCTGGGAGCGTCTTGTTATAATCCGGAGAGCGCGTTGGCCAATGTGTGCCCGTGCGTGCGCGGTTGCGTGTGGTTGCGTGTGATTGCGTTTGGTTGTGCGTGTGGTTGCGTGTGGTTGCGTGTGATTGCGTGTGGTTGCGTGTGGTTGCATGTGGTTGCGTGTGGTTGCGTGCGGTTGCGTGTGGTTGCGTGCGGTTGCGTGTGGTTGCGTGCGGTTGCTTGCAACGGCTTTTAGACGTTGGTCTCCAGGCCCAGCAGGCGGCCCATGCGCTGCATGTTCCTCTGGATGGCCGCGTGGCACGTGATCTCCTGAGCGCAGGCCGCCGGGAACCATCCCCTCTCTCCGTCACGCAAACGCTCGCCTTCGTACCAGCCTGCAGCGCACGCACGCACACACACAAAGATCCGCCCTGCCATGTAACCTTTGAAAGCCGGTACAGTACACGAGGGGGTGGCGTGGACAGCACTACACCCGGCCGCCTTTGTCTCCCCGAGAGGTGATGTTTACACACCGCACCAGTTACTCATTTGCATGAGTCGCACACATGCACACGCACATCACAGGCCACAAACTCTGGATATTTTCCTGGCTTAAAAAAGGCTCATGTCCAAGATGCAAAATTTTGGAAGATTTGAATTTTTGTTGTTGTTTCAGATTGAATTGGAGTAGAATGCGCCATATAAAACGACATTGCTTGTGATGTCACTTTCACGTGACATCCAGATCGAACCCATTTTATTCGTGCGACTTTCTGGCACAAATCTGCCACTCAAAAGGGCCATCATGACATGCAAACTCAAGCTGAACATACCATTAGAAAGGTTATAAACAAAGTGAAATATATACTGTGCTTACAAACTGTCAGAGAGTTGTGAATTAGTTTAGCAGCCACCCTCCTTTCAGATGGACTTCAGACTCGGCGAGGCTTTCCTGGGTGAATCAATGTTGTGAATGAATCGTGATGGACGTGTGGGTGTGAAGTGCCGGTTTACGACGACACCGGATTCTGTTTACACCAAACTCAAGTGCACTGTGCAAAGGTTCAAAGTCTCCCCCGGTCGGCACGTGATGGCTTGTTGGCTTTGCATCATCACACCGACCTCACTCACCTCGACTCTGCGCAGACAATTTCCCCACGCTATGCGTATTAACACCCCCCCCCCCTCTCTCCCCGTTAGCGTGTCACAAGCAGACTTTAGTTGTAACAACTACGCGCGCTTTTTTCCGGCTGAATGCGCAACGTTGCAGATCGCGGTCGTCGTTGCCCGATTAAAGCGTCAGCCAAGCGAAGGAAACGGACCTTCGGCCTCGAGGTAAAACACAAGCAAGGTGAAGGTGCAGCCCTGCAACTGCCAACTCGCGCCCCTGATGGCAGAAGGGCCTCCACTGGAGGCAGCGCTTGAGACCAATTATTCCGGGCCGACCAGATGTCTTGGCAGAGGTGGGAGTCCCCACACTTTACTCCACCACACGCCACCTGCCAATCTACGAATGCATTTGTACTGCTGGGTGAACGGAGTGAATGGTGGTGGTGGGGGCGGGGGATTTGTGTTTTTTTATGAATGCTGAAGACCCTCGCAGTGACAGGAGTCGCTGAGGGCACTGAATTAGAAGCGGTGTTGTTGCCGAGATAAATATCGTGTTGCGGGCCGACACGAAGCGGAAGGCGGAAGTGTGTGGCCGGCCACGGGCCGTGTGAAATGAAGCATCAGGTCATGTCCGGCCCGTGGGCCCGGCTTGCAGGGCCACGAACTCGGCGGCCAGCCGCCGTGGCCGCTCGAGGCTTGCGGTGGACGTGTGCGGCTCCACCGCGGCCAGTGCGGCGAGCGAGGCGAGCCTACGCACCGTCGGCCGTCTTCTTGTAGACGAGGACGACGTCGGCCATCTGCAGCGACAGCTCGTCCGGCTGCACGGCCATGTAGGTGCGGATCATCTCCACCTGAGTGAGGTCTGGCAGGAGGAGACACGGAACGACCATCGTGGCACGGCCGGTAACTTCTCGGCACGCTCCGGCATCGGCGCCGTTGTCGCACCTCCGATTAGCACGATTGGCTACGTACGGTGCGAAAGAAGTTCACGGGCCTCCACGAATGTTTCGCGTGCAACTCTGGGCTGCTAGGTGGGTGGCGATGTTGCACGTGGGTTTTTTTTTTATATAATCCAATTCAGTAACGTGTGGGTAACGAGGGCCTCGGCTGGAGGTCACGGCTCGGCCCGGTGATCGCTTATCGCTCGGTCTCACCACTGCGGGCAGAACCAATCACTCATGAATCGACCACGTACGTCAATATATTCCACACACACACACTCGTGGAGGAGATCGGAGTACCCACGCTCGACCGTACCACACGTGACCTGCCGATCAACCGTGGTGATCCCATTCACACTACTGGGGGGGACAGATGTGGGGGCGGGGGAATTCAAGAAACTTGCGCCACTGATTCTCCTGCCGTGCCTCCGGGAGATGGAATCGAACCGGCCACCTTCGGATTGCAAGTGGGGATTGCACTGCTCCACTGGGGAATCCCCTCCCATCGTGGGCGTCATCATCGCCATCTTTTTTCCCCCAGGCTCTTAACAATGACAACCTTGCTCGATTCAAGACAACGGTTAGACTCTTGTCTTTTACAACAGTGCCGTTTATTGCCGAGTGCTTAACATTTAGGGCCTTTGGTCCTGCCCTCGGCAACCTGTTGTTTGTCGTTGTTGAAAATTACGCGCGTATACGTACATAAAAATATATCCACCGGTGGTGCCATCACGGCCACGCGTGCGTGAGTCACCTTTGCGCTCGGCCGACTCGGAGTGTTCGCTGTCCTCGTTCTCTCTCTTCCATCGTCGCAGCGCCGAGACCCAGCGCGCCCGCTCGCTCCTGGCAGGTGATTGCGAAAGCAAACGCCGTGTGTCTATGGTTAATATATATTCGTTTGTTATTTGACACATTCACTGTATATATGTTTCGAACAAAAAAAACAGATAAGCACAGAATCGGGGAATGTAAGGGAGATGGGGTCGCCACGAAGAACGGGCCTTCACGAAAACCGGGCCAACATGGAAACCGGGTCACCATGGAAACCGGGCCTTCACGGAGACCGGGTCGACATGGAAACCGGGTCGCCATGGAGACCGGGCCTTCACGAAGACCGGGTCGCCATGGAGACCGGGCCTTTACGCTTGCAAGCAGTTCGTACGCTCACTCACTCCGGACTTCCTCGTCACCGGCGAGTTCATGAACTCGTCGCAACAACCCGGCGACCCGGGTGCCAGTGGAAATGCCTCCCACACCACCGGGGCCTGGAAACTTGCGCCGGTGTTGCAGGGTTTCTGCAGAACGTCTTCAATTGCCAAGCGTGGGTGGCAGGAGTGCAAGCACTGTACTTGTACCCGCTGTTACCGCTTCGGATTTTTTTTTTTAAAACAACACTCAAATAAACACCTTTAAACAACGTCAACATTTACTTCTTGCCGCTCAGATGAACCACCAGCGCTCATCTCCCATCTTCAGTCCTGCAGAGCCAGCGGTGGAAATTCCACATTCCTATGGCCGGAGCGAGTCCATCCATAACGTAACCGCTGTTGGCTTGCTCAGAAAACGCCCCACCGCACATCATCTCCTATCGCCAGCCCTGAAGGGCCAGCGGAGGAAAGTCTCTTCCATAAGGCAACCACTGTCGACTTTCTCATAAAATTCGCTGCTTGTGTTATCGGGCAGTCCGCAATGAGGAACCCGGCACACAACCTTTGCCAACGAGGGAACTGAAATCTAAACAGGAATTACATTTTTTTCCCTTTTTTCCTTCCCCCCCCCCCCCCCCCCCCGCAGCTGCACACGCAGCTCGGCCATGCCATCCCAAGAGAGAGTTTATATAAAACAATTTTTTTTTTTAAATCCCATCTCGGGCGACGGAGTCGTGGGATGATGAGTGGCTTTTCCCCTCGGCATGCCCGGCATTCCAGAGGCAGAGAAGGGGGAGGGGAGGCAAGGGTGAGGCTGAGGTTACGGGCCGAAGGAGAGGCGAGCAACGGCTTCGTGGTTTTCCACGCGCGCCGCTCTCAAGCCAAGGCGGTTTCCAGCCGCTCAAAAAGAGCCACTGAGGCTAACGGTGTCTCCTGCGCCAGCGGTGGAAATTCCACGTTCCTATACCGGGAGGGTGAGTTTATCCATAGACGACCCGCTGTTGACTTCCACACGGAGTGGTACTCCCGTTATCGACCCCCAGAGGGATGATGATGATGGGTTGAGTCAACCCCATGCTCAACCAAGAGTTGAACTCGCGACCTTCCGATCGCGAGCCGCTCACTCCGCTGCTGAGCCGCCCTGCCGGTCGGCACGCGCTGTGTATGCAGACCTCCGTTCTGCGTCTCCACAAATAAACTGAAAGAGTCTCAGTCCCCATCGGCCGATCGTCGGCTCCCCAGACCAATATCGTTCTTCAGCAGCAAGAGAAGCCTGCTCACGACCTTACGAACGAGTCTCGGACAACATAACCACAACTCTCGGCACACCGGTGACAAAGGTGAGGTGGATGTGCGGGGATACCAAAATCATTTCCGAAACGGCGATCTCCGGACCGTTCTGGCCTGACTGATATTAAGGCAGCCCCCCCCCCCCCCCAATAAGACCACTGATCCCCATACCCACCCCCGTACCCCTCCACCCACCTGCCTCCCATGCCCCCCACCACTTTTCTAAGTGGTGGGGGGCATGATGGTGTCCGTAAGCCATTCGTTTCAACGGCACGCAGCGCGTCCCGCAATTCCTTCTGCACGCCGCGGCCTCTTGCGGCCCCCCCCCCCCGTCTCTGCCCCCACCCCCCACTGGTTGTGGAACAGCCGGTTTGCCCCTGGGGGAGCGTCACTCACGGCGAGTCGGCCAGGAGGTTGAGCTCCACGCGCTCGCCCGCGTGGTTCCTCGCGATCGCCACCTGGAAGAAGTTGGCGAGCGATCCCTGCCGCGGCAGCAGCATCAGGCTGCTGCGGGGGTTCGAGGTGGCGGGGGGGGCCCCCCCCGAAGGGGAGGGGCTCTCCCCGGCGGCCCCCGGTGCGGAGGCCTGCGGCTGCTGCTGAGTGGCCGGCTGGTCGTCGTCGTCGCTGTCCACCACGAGGTGCTCGCCCAGGCCGTAGTCCGTGACCAGGTACGCCTCTTCTCTGCCGACAGGGGGTCAGGGGTGAGGGGACAGGGGGTCAGGGGTGAGGGGACGGGGGGGTCAGGGGTGAGGGGACGGGGGGTCAGGGGTGAGGGGACGGGGGGTCAGGCTGCGCGTGAGCGGCGGCAGCGGCATCGACCCTCGTCCACCACCTCCGCCACCACGGCCACCAGGACCGCGAGCAAGCGCAGCGCCGCCATCGTGTTGCATCGGCACGGCAACCAGCAGCGTCGCCGTCGCAGTCATCACCCTCATTGGTCACCGCTGCCTCTAGCACCGGCACCACCACCCTAAGCGCTTGCGGCAACGTCCATCGCCGCCACCAGCAGCGGCATCGTCATCATCGTCACCATCGTCTTCATCATCATCCATCAATCATCGGGTCACAGGTCAGAGGTTCTCCACGCTCCCGTGGGTGTTGTTGGGTGGTGCCCGTCCCCTGGTTGACGCCCCACGTGGTGCGCAACGGCGCGAGCGCGCGGGGAGCGGTGGTGCAGTGGTTGGCGCACCGCGCTACGAACCCGGCGATACGAGTTAGATTCCCGCTCGCGAATGATAACAGCAGCGAATATATTTGCACCAGTCCTACCACACCCCCTAGATCAGGGGTGGGGAACGTCCGGCCCGCGGGCCGTATGAGGCCCGCGAAATCATTTGTTGTGGCCCTGCCAAGGCAACCGCAGGCGGGACTCGAAATTCAATCAATCTCGGAGCAAACCTGGAAAAGCAGTTGCGAGTAGCAGCAACATCATCAACACCAGCTAACATAACACGCCTCGCCAAAGAGAAGCAGTTCCAGCCATCACATTAGGGGTGAGTTAATTAAATGTTTGACCAAATATAACAAGCTAATTTTTAAGTTGATAATTTTGTCTGGCCCGCGAATGATGTCATAAATATCCAAATGGGCCTTGTCATGAAAAGGTTCCCTGCCCCTGCCTTAGGTCGACTCGGCCTTAAAATGAGTCCGTGGTGCGATGTGTAAAACAGCAGCACCGGGGAGATAAAAGCGGCCGGGTCGTGGCGCTGGCCACTCGCCGCCGGCACTTGCCCCAGCGGCGCAGCGAAGGCTACGCGGGGGAGCTTTGTGTGCTGCGCGAGGACCAACCCGCGCTTGCGCGTCACGATGAGGACGTCGTTGAAGAGCAGCAGCGTGAGGCTGTGCTTGCGACGCGTGAACAGCCCCCCGTCCCCTCCGAGTGACGTGAGCTCTCCGCGCTTCACCAGCCAGCGCGACGCTGACACCAGCGGGAACGGCTGTGGGGGGAGGGGGGGGAGGGGGTGGAGATGCGGGGGGGTGGGAGGAAGGAATGGATTTTGTTTATTCATGTAAAAATAATGATAATCGTGAATCGTAATGATGACAGTAACACCGCGAGCCATTCGTTACAAGCGGCATTTCATCATTCAAAACGTCGGCCGTCAGTCCCTGCCGCGTCAGATTGTAGCCGTCACTCGGCATAAGCCGTACGAAGAAGAAGCAGCACAAGATTTTAATCCCTCGCAGGGAGGGAGGGAGGATGGGGAGGGGGGGGTGTCGGTTTGTGGTCTTCTGCTCTGGTGGCCCCCAGGGGCAGGCTCGCGTGTAAATCCGGCCCTGGGGGGGGGGGGGGCAAGGTGCCATTGTGCGTTTGTTGCATCATTGTCGCACTAATTGCCGGCGGGGATTTGCGAGGTGCCGTTTTGGATGAGGAGAAATCGCGTCACCTCCGCCCCGCAGGTGCGCGCCGCCGTTTTGCCCGTCGCTGGGTGTGCGGAGTCCGGGGTGAGAAGTCATCACGGGGAGAAAACTCCATCCCAATGGAACCCTCCCCTTGTTGTGTCAGCAGAACATCGCCAAGAGATGGCCGTGGAAGGTGAACCCACAGACAGGGCCGTCCGTAGAGGGATGTGGGGCCCAGGGAAAAGTCTATGTACGTTGAACTTCTTTCGCACCGTACGTCGCCAACCGTGCTAAAAACAGTTCTCAAGATCGCACTGTGTGGCCCCGCCCCCAACGCCTTCAAACGAAACCGCAAGTCCCACATGTGACGCGGTGACGTGGAAGCGCGGCCGCCACCCCCCCCCCCCCCCCTCCAAATCGCGGGGGCCCGGGGCGGTCGCCTCGATTCGCCGTCCCCTCGGGGCTAATCCCCAAACAGACGGCGTTGAGTCCGCCTGCCGTACCGCCTTCTCCTGGCGAACCAACGGGGTTCACGGCACCTTCTCGACGGCCCACGGCAAGAGGCAGTTTCACGCAATCTGTGCGGCGATCCACCAACCCTCGCCGCTGCCTGCGCAACAGCGCTGGGTCACAGCCGTGCCACCACTGCCCCGGCTAACGACAACAACAGCGCTGGGTCACAGCCGTGCCACCACTGCCCCGGCTAACGACAACAACAACAACAACAGCAGCAGCTGCTGCACAAAAACAACAGCAGCAGCAGCTGCTGTGGTGTCACGATAATTATCATTAACAGTAACACCCACCCCCTCCCTCCCTCCCCAACACTGGAGCCCTCCGCCGGCTTGCGTAACGCACGAGTCAGCGACACCCTAGCCCGCTGCCGCTCTCCGTCGTGCTGACATCAATATCCAAGACGCGCCCATGAGCCAGCGAGCGACGAGCCGTCCGGCTGGTTTGTCAACTCCAGGGCGACACCTCGCTGGCAACGCCACCTGTCAATCAGCATCGTCGCCATCATCTTTCATCATCATCGCCAAGCATCGCACCTCCTGGCTTTATAGCATTCCTCCTCCTCAGAGAACTCCGCTTTAACACGGTTGGCTGTGTACGGTGCAAAAGAAGTTCAATACACACACAAGACACCGGGTGGTGTGACATCAACAGCGCGACGTCGTCACGCATCTCCTTCGTCGACGGAGAATGATCGGCGCGAGCCGCAAGGGTGCGATTGGGGACGCGGTGGCAGACCGCCGTGGTCGGCGCTAATTTCAGCGGATGAGTGGAAGCGCTGCGAAAACTCTTCCCTGTCTATCTCTCTTCCTGTCTCTCTCTCCCTGTCTCTCCCTGTCTCTCCCTGTGTCTCTCTCCCTGTGTCTCTCCCTGTCTCTCTCTCTCTGTGTCTCTCTCCCTGTGTGTCTTTCTCTCTCTGCTGGAGCCCTCTCGCGCGTGGCCAGCTGCAGCAGACCTCGACATTGCCATCGAGCTCCTGGACACCGCGTCGCTGCTGCCACACGGACAATATTTACATGGCACTGGGTGGACAGGAGGCGACGTCATGCAACTGCCACGCCAGTGGATGGTGCCGCTGGAGGCAAGCGTCCCTTGACATTTAACAACACAAATGGAAACGAGCTTTGCCAGATTTTATTTTTAGTTTTTTTAAAACCCTCCGGTGATGTTAAATTAAATGACACAATTACTTTGCGGGGCATAGCAGTGGACCCTCACGTGCCATCCTTTGAGAGATTGCGGAATCGTAAACGTTGCTGATGTGTACGTGCCGTAAAGAGTTGCCAAGCAGTTGAATACGTGGCAGGCTTTCGTGACCAATATCATACATAATAGAGGGATTTTTTTTTGGTTAGATCGCGTAAATATAAATGTGTCCTTAAACCCGCCACCACCAATTAGTAAGTATCGTGACGTTTTGCCAGTAATTACAACGGCATCATCAGGCGAGCAGTCAGATTTGCGGATAAATCCTCCTGTTTCATTCCTTAAATAGAGGAGATAGATGTGATGACGTCACCTGTGAGCCCTTCACGTGCGAAGTTACCCAACTCAAAATTGTGACTTAAAATTGACAGGGGGGGGCAGCAGGCGGGGAGAATTATTTTGAATCGGAGCGCTCCGGCCAGCGGCGACGTGCGGATGAGGACCGTGGACGCCGGCGTAGAAAGTGAGAGGAATCAACGGTGGGGGGAGGTCTTTTGTTTTGGGTGCGGGCCCGGGGTCACGGCGAGGGTCACGGCGGGGTCACGGTGGGGTCACAGCAGGGGTCACGGTGGGGTCATGGCGGGGGTCACGGCGGGGGTCACGGTGGGGGTCACGGCGGGGTCACGGCGGGGTCACGGCGGGGGTCATGGCGGGGTCACGGTGGGGGTCACGGCGGGGTCACGGCGGGGTCACGGCGGGGGTCATGGCGGGGTGATGGCGGGGCCACGGCGGGGTCATGGCGGGGGTCACGGCGGGGGACAGGGGGGGGGCCCTCACCTTGATTCGGAACTCGAGCTGCTTCTGGAGAGTAAACATCTCCTCCGTCCTCTCCATCTTCCTGGCGCCGTCGTTACACTCCTTGACGAGCTGCAACACGCACAGTGGGGGGAGGGGGGGGGGGTGATGTTAACCACGTCGCTAGGAGGTCGTGGATTCCATCCCGACCCTGACGCCTGCTTTATATTTGTGTCTCTTTCTCCCCCGGTCGCGTGGATTTTTCTCCGGGTCCTCCGGTTTTACCCTCCACATTTAGAAATCAACATCACGCGTTTGGAGTATTTGGCTACTGCTAATAAATGTCCACGTGATGATGATAAGCCGCTTCGTTGAGCTGTCTTTTGTGATGGCCACAGTCGCTTCTGAAAGAGAGCTAAGTAGCTCAGTGGGCCTTACCTGGTCAAATAAAATAATAAAAATATTACCCAGCTGCCCCCCTACTGGCCACCGAGCAGACCAGCGGTCCAGCGGTGGTGCTGCAATTGTCCCGTGCCACACAGGGGCAGCTGCCACGGGAGGGTCCCCTAGGGCTAAACAAAACAAAAACGTGCCCTTAAGTCGCTTAGTTACATTAGCAGCACAATACAAATGTAAGTTGTATTATTACAGTATTAATATTATTATCGTAAAGCGCATTACCACAGTAAGCATCTGACTGCCAGACAATATTTTCATTTCATTTTAACTCACGGTTGCTGTGCAAAGGCCCCAAAAACACCAAGCGGCCAGCAAGAGGAGCACCGCTGAATAAGTGTCATAGAGAAGCGTCAATGGGGACCTTGAATGGAGCAAGGTTGTTGTTGGGAATTCTAAAGCGGAGCGGTGCAAGCGGCAAAGCAGCGGAAAACGCGTTGTGACCTGCAGTGTGGTGAGCGGGTGAGTGAGTAGGTGAGTGGATGAGTGAGTAGGTGAGTGGGTGAGTGAGTGGGTGAGTGGGTGGGTGAGTGAGTAGGTGAGTCAGTGAGTGAGTAGGTGAGTGGATGAGTGAGTAGGTGAGTTAGAAAATGAGTAGGTGAGTGAGTGGGTGGTTTGGCTATGGGATGATACGAAACAGTCAAAGAGGAATCGAGAATGTTGAGAACGTGTTTACTTTGTCTAACCCACTGGACAAATATCCTGTTGTTGTGAATCATGTACCTGTGTGTGTGTGTACTTGTGTGTGTGTGTACCTGTGTGTGTACCTGTGTGTGTGTTCCTGTGTGTGTGTATACCTGTGTGTGTGTACCTGTGTGTGTGTGTACCTGTGTGTGTATGCGTAGTGTAGCAGTTAGCGCGACGCTGCGCTACGAACCCGGCGGCCCGAGTTCTATTCCCACTCACGGCCAACACCAGTGGCGATTATCTGAACCGGTCTTAGGCCTCCCCCAGGGTCGACTCAGCCTCAAAACGATTATCCGGCATGGTGTATAAACATCGCCAATCGGGAGACAAAGGCGGCCGGGCGTGGCGCTGGCCACCCACCCCTCTCGTGTGCCGTGCCGGCCTTCATCTGTGCTACTCGCTCACCGCACTTGCTCCAACAGTCTGTTGAGGCTATAAGGGGACCTTTGTCTTTGTTTGCCCTTGCGATTGTGAATAGCCATTGAAATCCGCAAGGACAGTGGCTGTAAAGAGCTGAATGAGTTTACCTTCCACCTGACACCAGTGGCACTCTGGACCCACGCCGAGTGGTGGCTGCTACCTTACCTCTCCTCTTTCAGCCGGCATCACCAGGGACAGATTGTATGTAATGTATATGTGTTCCACTTCTCTCGCACTGCACGTCACCAACCGTGCTAATCGGAGGTGCGGGGGAAGAACAACAACCTGAACGCAAGAAGCAGCAAACTGCGACCCGAGACATTTGTTATGTGCCGGGTGCAGTCTACACGAATTAAGTTGGACGGGGCAGGGAGGGGCCGCAGGTGTTGTCAAAGTCTAGTTACAGTCAATCCCCTCCCCTCACCGCTTGACCGCCACCAATACTCAGGGCCATGCAAACTCCCAAACCCCACGGTGTGAGCCACCGCCACCTGACCCCTTCAATCTACAAAGGAAGTAGCTGACATCATCTGACACCGTGACGTTGCAGCGCAGCCACCCCCCAAAGCGCGGGGCCCGGGGCAGTCGCCCCGATTCGTTCGCCGTGCCCCTAGGGAGAGCCCCGCCCATGCCCGCCGGGTCGCATCGCTCCGTTGCTATTCACCTCGGTGGTTTGCAGGTCAGCGTTGTAGGCAGAGTTCATCGCTGGGGCAGCTGCCACCAGGGGGTCCCCTAGGCTGTGTCGGGTGCAGTATACATCTAAGTAGCCTCCCCACCGTGATGATGTTCACACAGCGTGCCGGGTACTCATTTGAGAATGAGTCGACCTCGGGGAGGCCCAGGGCCGGTTGAAGATAATCGTCATTGATGTTAGCCGTGAGCGGGAATCGAACTCGGTTTGCTGGGTTCGAAGCACAGTGCGCTCGCCACGACACTTGCCTTCACACAAACACAAGCGAGGTACGGGTGTCGTGTGCAAAACATCCCACACTTTGTAAATGCTCTGGAATGTAACAGCGGAGTCATTCACTGCACCGCGTGTGCTCACCAAAGGCCGGTTTCCATGGCCACTGCAAAACCTCGCTCTGCCGGCCTAGGAATTGCCCAGGTCCAGTCTAATATTGGCCCAGTAAAGAGGTTCGTCCCTAGTTACTAAACTAAAAACTATAAACTAAACTATTTTTATTTTATTTTACCACGTAAGGCCCACTGAGCTGTAGAGCTCTTTTTCAGAAGCGACCTCGCCACAGATGATAGCTCAATGAAGTGGCTCATTGTGTAGAATTTTATAGCTGCCAAATACTCTAAATGCATGGTGATGTTGATTCTAAACGTGGAGGGGAAAACCGGAGGACCCGGAAAAAAATCCATGCGACCACGAGGAGAGAGACACGCAACTCCAAATATACAGCAGCAGGCGTCGGGGTCGGGATCGAATCCACGACCTCCTGCATACCAGGCGAGGCAGTTAACATCTCGCCATCCGTTAAGGGTGGGAGGGCGGGCCCCGGACTCACCTTGCTCACGGCCTTGAGTGCCCGCTTGACCCGCTCGCTCTCGATGGAGAACTTGTTGGTCTTCTGGCAAATCGTCTGCAAAGGGACGAGCGGCAGGGGCGGTGATCCTGGCGGTGCCGGGTGAGGCGGCTCGCTCACCGGCCCGCGGCGGAGGCCGTGGGTTTCGGCTTAACGCCGTGCGTTAAAACTCCTCCGTATGTCCGGCCATTTTTTTATTAATTCGTCACGCACGGTCAGTGAAGGAGCATTGCGCCAAACGTGTGAGCTCTTGCGACAACGTTCGCTTCAACTGCTCTTGGCTGCCATACACCGGCATCTGCAGTGATTTGTTTGATGGATCACAGAGGGAGACCGCGGGGGCGAAGCCATTCTTTTGCTTAAGATTTGAAAACTAATGTTCATGCATTGCCTTTTTCCTGTTGTCTGATTGGATCACCGTTTATTCTCAATTTTATGTCACGTGTGGTAGTCATTGATATTGTTATTATCAGCTTCCTATTTCGCTAAGATTGTATCTATACATGTGAGTGGAGTAAACAAATAAATGTTTTTGCGTGCAGCGCTTTCAGATATTTCGATACGAAAGGCGCTTCCTTAAATAGAGGTTATTATTATTGTCCACGTAAAAAATACAATCCAAAGTCAAGACGTGAAATAAGTTTTGCAAAAGCCACTTTTTTAGGAACCCGACGAAGGACATTACGCAGGGTGATCCAACCCTTCGCCGATGGTGGAAATTCTACTCTTATATGGCAGGGGTGAGTTTGTTCATACACCAGGTCACTTTATGGTGAGAGTCGCACGCTCACCACCACGCTCACCACAGCACTCCCCACCACGCTCGCCAGATACCACATGGTACTGTATTTCCAAGAACGTTTACTGCATTGCTAAGTTGTAAATATCATAAACTTTCCACCTTGAGTGGCTGGCGGGGAGGGAGGGGGGTCGGGGAGGGGTGGGGGGGGGCTGGGGGGGCCGAGCCCCCTCTTGGAGTGTGTTCTGTCTGTACACAGCACGGAGATGCCCACGCGGTCGTCAGCAACACCGTGGCCCTGAACACGGGCAACACGCGGCCTACGTGGAGAGCAGCCACGATCTATCCACTGCTGCGCTAAGGCCTTCCCAAGCCGGCGCTATCCCTCTGAGACACGCGCAGCGAGACCCGCACCAGCATGGACGACAGGCGACAGCAGGTGGCACCGCTACCCGCCCTGGTTAGCCCTTGACGTTTGTTTGACGTTCGCTTCAACACGTAGTGGGCCTTCGCTGCAAATTATCATTAGGATTCGTGATCGGTTTTCGGGTTGGTCGTACGCTTGATTTGTTTAATTAGTTTTTTGTGACTGAGTCGGGTGGCGGAGGGCTTCACCGCAAAAGAAAATCAAAATTGGCCGGATCATTCCGTGAGCTCACCCAAAATTAATTTACGAACCGCTTAGTTTACTGAAAGTCTTTCAAACACACGAAGCGAGCCGGGTCGAGGGAGAACTCACGTCCATGATGAGAGGCAGCCTCGTGACGCGCTGCATGGGCAGGATGAGGAAGGAGGTCATGCTGAGGCCTCCGCAGTCCGGCTGGGCCTCCAGCCTGCCCAGGGTCTCCTTGAAGGTCGTGTTCTTGGCCCTGTGCGCAGCCACCGCCACACCCGTTTCAGAATCACAATATGTATTTATGCTGCAGCAATCCGATGAGCTATGAAGCTCTTTTTTACAGATGTCCAGTGGCCTATTTGTTGTTGTTACCATGCTTGTTGTTGTTGTTATGGTTGTTGTTGTTATTGCCATGCTTGTTGTTCCTATTACCATGGTTGTTGTTGTTATTGCCATGCTTGTTGTTCCTATTACCATGGTTGTTGTTGTTATTGCCATGCTTGTTGTTCCTATTACCATGGTTGTTGTTGTTGTTGTTATTGCCATGCTTGTTTACCCAGGGAAGTCTCGCCGAGTCTCAAGACTCGTCTATCGGGAGGGCTCCTGCTCAGGTTTCTTAGGAGAGCTGCTGCTGCTGCTGCTGCTGCTGCTGCTGCTGCTGCTGCTGCTGCTGCTGCTGCTGCTGCTGCTGCTGCTGCTGCTGCTGCTGCTGCTGCTGCTGCTGCTGCTGCTGCTGCTGCTGCTGCTGCTGCTGCTGCTGCTGCTGCTGCTGCTGCTGCTGCTGCTGCTGCTGCTGCTGCTGCTGCTGCTGCTGCTGCTGCTGCTGCTGCTGCTGCTGCTGCTGCTGCTGCTGCTGCTGCTGCTGCTGCTGCTGCTGCTGCTGCTGCTGCTGCTGCTGCTGCTGCTGCTGCTGCTGCTGCTGCTGCTGCTGTGCGCGATCCCCATCGAGTGGTTTGCCGGTGCCTTTGTGAAGCAATGCTTGGCCGACACCAAGCACGTGTGTGTGTGCGTGTTATGGGGTTCATTTTTTTTATCCATGGGAGGAAACGGGAAAGCCCCGGAGGAAACCCAGAACTGGGGAGAGAATACACAAACTCCACACCGAAAGGCACCCAAGTAGGGAATCGAACCCAGGGCCTCCTTGCTGTGAGGCATGCGAGCGTCATCACTGTGCCTCCACCCAGTACGGCGTGTAAGTCAAACGAGCAGCCTTGCACATCTATCAGTCCCTCCCTCCCTTCAGCCAGCAAAACTTTTCTTCAAATATAAAAGTGTGAGATTTCACCTAATAATCCCGATTCCCCGCTCACGGCCAACATCAGTAAGGAATATCTGAACCGGTCCTGCGGAGTGTGCAAACATCAGCACTGGGAAGACAAAGACGGCCGGGCACGGTTCTGGCCAAGCCACTCCCTGGTAGGCGTGCCGTCCCAGGCCATAACAGTTGCACGCTCCGAGCACTTTGCCCGACAGTCTGCTCGAGGCTACGCGGGGGATCTTTGTCTGCGTGTGTGAGCGTGATTTGTGGGCAACCGCACTCACAGCAGGCTGGCGAGCGTGCGCTGCTGGTACACCTCGTTGGTGCAGTACTTGACGTAGGCGTCGAACTTCTTGGCATGCCGCTCGACGATGTCACTCACGCTGTGGACGAGCACGTTCTCCTGGTGCCTCGCCTCCAGGTCCGTGAAGAACCTGACGGGGTCACGTGACATGCTCAAGACCCTGACGGGGTCACGTGACACGCTCAAGAACCTCACGGGGCCACCTGACACGCTCAAGAACCTCACGGGGTCACGTGACACACTCAAGAACCTCACGGGGTCACGTGACACACTCAAGAACCTCACGGGGTCACGTGACACGCTCAAGAACCTCACGGGGCCACCTGACACGCTCAAGAACCTCACGGGGTCACGTGACACACTCAAGAACCTGATGGAGCGACGTGACACGCTCAAGAACCTGATGGAGTGACGTGACACACTCAAGAACCTCACGGGGCCACGTGACACACTCAAGAACCTGATGGAGCGACGTGACACGCTCAAGAACCTGATGGAGTGACGTGACACACTCAAGAACCTCACGGGGCCACGTGACACGCTCAAGAACCTGACAGGGCCACGTGACACGCTCAAGAACCTCACGGGGCCACCTGACACGCTCAAGAACCGCCCACCCACGTCTCGACTCGAGCCCAGGGCGCGTCATCACCAGCTGGAGTGGCGCGGCCAATCCCAGACTCCGGCACCATCACACCGGCGGAGGGGCTACAGGAGCTTCACTTCTCAAGCCCTCCACCCCCTCTCCTTAATCCAGCTGCTGCTCTCTCCTCCCCACATCCCTCACCAGACTGCAGGTCACAACACTCACCCACTCACCGCACTGAAGGCCAAATCACTTCCTTCCTGGCACCACTTCACTTTGGAATTCGCTCCTGCCATCATCATCATCATCGCCGTCGTCTCTCTCACCCCAAGCCCTCACTGCAATAACCTTGCCCAGTTCTATTTGTTGACGGCCGCCCGACACGTCGGGCTTTTGGGGCCTGCGCTCAAGCAGCTGCGTTTAAAATAAAATAAATATTTGGGCAACTTTCCTTCGCTCTTTCAATATCAACGGCGCCGGTTTTGCAAAACGGCGCCGGTGCGCGACAAAGAGACCATTGTCACCGCTGGCAGGTGGCCGTGTCCACACGAGGCCCCCACGGAGAACTTTGCCCTTCTGGATTGTGCGCGGGGAAGCCAGAGTACATGGGTGGGTGCCTGCGTGGCTGGGAGCCTGCATGGGTGGGTGCGTGGGTGAGTGCGTGGGTGGGTGGGTGGTTGCGTGCATAGGTGGGTGGATGGGTGCGTGAGTGAGTGCGTGCGTGGGTGGGTGGGTGCGTGAGTGGGTGCGTGCGTGCGTGCATGCGTGGATGGGTGCGTGGGTGGGTGCATGCATGGGTGGGTGGGTGCGTGCGGGCGTGCGTGGGTGGGTGCGTGAGTAGGTGTGTGGGTGAGTGCGTGCGTGACTGGGTGCGCGGGGGCCGGCGATCGCTCGCCAGAGATGCGGTTCTGCACAGAACGCGGCCTCGCGACGCATCCATCGTGACCGAAGGTGGCGGTGCTGGTGGTGGCGGTTGTGGCGGTTGTGGCGGTGGTGGCGGTAGTGGCGGTAGTGGCAGTGGCGGTAGTGGCAGTGGCGTACCGGCGGCTGGCGTCGCGCACGTCGGTGATGTTAGAGAAGAGGTGGTGCTGCTCCGTCTTGCTCATCGTGATGCGGAGGTCGGCCGACTCCAGGAACACGCGGATCAGCACTTCCAGGCTGTGCAGGTACGAGTGCTCTGACGTGATGATCTCGAACATCGCCTGCCGCGTGCCCACGCACGCACACAGAGACAAACATCCCCCGTGTAGCCTCAACACACCACCTGGTGTACAGCAGGTCGTCGGTTCGATCCCGACCCCGACGCCTGCTGTATATTTGGAGTGTGGGTATCTCCCCATGGCCGCGTGGATTTTTCTCTTTGTAATCTTCTGAATTTTCCCTCCACATTTAGAATCAAAATGCGTTCAGAGTATTTGGCTACTGCTATACATTACCACGTGATAAGCCACTTCGTTGACCTTTCATTTGTGGCCAGGTCGCTTCTGTAAAATAACTTTTAGCTTTTTAGCTCAGTGGGCCTTACCTGGTAAATAAAAAAAATAGTTAAGAAAGTTTTTTTTAAGTACCGCAAGGGAGTAGCACTAATGAAGGCCGTCACGGCACACGAGAGCGTGGAGTGGCTCACGCCCGGCCGCCTTTGTCTCCCCCGTGCCGCCGATGTTTACTGCACACCGCACCAGCTGCTCATTTGAAAGCTGAGTCGACCGAAGAGGAGGCCCAGGACCGGTTCAACCCGAAAACAAACCCCTCACCAATGCAACTAATCCCGACCCTCACCGTAACGCTCCACCCTGGCACCACGTGTGTATGCGCGTGTGTGTGCGCGTGTGTGTGGAGAGAGCGGTAGCGTAGCGCAGTGGTTAGCGCTTCGCTGCGTAGGCCTCGGCAAGGTAAGGTAAAAGGTAAAAACAACGAGCCTACCTTTACCCTACCTTTTATCTTACCACAATACAATCACTCTACCCTATATTTTACCCTTTAGCAAGGTAAGGTAACAGGTCAAAAGCAACGAGCCTACCTTTACCCTACCTTTTACCCTTACCCTATACAAATTACCCGATTATAGGGTAATTACTGGGGTACTACACATGAACAAGGTGTATAACGTCAAATGCTGGAGGTAGAGCGCTTTATTCATATAGAATACTCTCGATGACTCCAAATTACATGCTTGTTGTTGTCGTTGTTGTCGTTGTCGTATCCTCAAATCTTGTAACTCAATTGTAACCCACTTCCCAATGTCGTATCGACAGCAAACTTGGTATACTTATGTCATATTGATGACAATACTATATGATATCATAAAAAAGTCACATTCTTTTTTCTATGTTATGTTTCGGCTTGAGTCTAAATGTCCACGCTCAACTGACGTTGGCTGTAATTGGCCACGGCCCCTTACGTTATGGCAAGCTTCGGGGCCACTTCCTGGAGTCGTGGAGTTCTGCAATTACTAATACATTTCATAAAAGCGTGTTTAAAACATTTTTTTTTAATATTACTTATTTAATGGAGACCACGAACTACGCCACGGAGTTTTTAGCGGTCAACAAGGTACCGTGTTTACCGGGTAATACTTCGCGCTACCTTTACCCTACCGGGTAATTCTTCTGAACTACCTTTACCCTGTACCCTTTACCTTACCCCTTGGCATGTCGACACCTTTACCTTTTTACCCGGTAAAAATGGTAAATTACCTTACCTTGCCGAGGCCTATCGCTGCGCTACAAAACCCGGGCGACCCGAGATCGATTCCCTGCTCATGGCCAACACCAGTGACGATTATCTGAACCGGTCCTGGGCCTCCCCTAGGTCGACTCAGCCTCAAATGAGGACCTGGTGCGGTGTGTAAACATCGCCACTGGGGAGACAAACGCGGTCGGGCGTGGTGCTGGCCACCCACCCCCTCGTGTACCTTTTGGCCTTCATAGTTGCTCGCTAACAGTACTTGCCCCTACAGTCTGTTAAGGCTATACGGGGAATCTTTGTCTTTGTGTGTGCATACATCGCAATGCATGGAGCCTCAGGTCTGCTGGTTTACCTCCTGCCTCTTCCTTTCCTCCGAGGAGAGCCTCTCCAGGACGCCCGAGTCCCTGACCTCGGGCAGCTGACTCCACATCACCCGCTGGGCTCTGTACGTGGGCACGATGCTGGGGTCCGAGTCAACGGCGTCAACGGCCGGCAGCGGGCAGGACGAGCCCCCCGCCATCGGCGACGGGCCCCCCCCCCGCTCGGGGGACCCCGGGGGGGGGGCGCCGTCCTCGTCCGCAGCGCCACCGTCGAGCCCTCGCTCGCGGAACTGCTGGTACAGCACCGTGTCCGCGCCTGCGCCGGGCGGGCGGGGGGGGGGGAGTCGGGGGAGGAGACTCTTTATCGGCCGGCGCTACGGGCCGAGCGGCCGCGAGGCCGGCGCGGCACGGCTGGGTTTTTCCCACCGGGTAATGTGCCAGTGCCGAGCCAGAACACCGATACGCGACACGCCGGCTTCGTCGGAAGACGTCCGAACGTGGAGCGAGGGCCAAGCAGGGCCAGGGGGCGGGGCTAATGGCGCGTTCGTCGCGTGCGACAGCCGGTGTGTGCGCTGCCAAGTGCGCGGCGAATCAGTGCGTTCCGAGCGTCAAGATGGATAGGCAGCCGTGATTAGTCCGTGCAGCAGCGCCGTCCGCTGTGCGACCGGCCCGCGACTACTTACTCTCCTCAAACGTGTGTGACTTCTTCAGCAAAGGTTTCTTCGAGTCGCTTGCCTGCAAAAGTAAACCGCGAACATTAATTTCTCGACATTGACGCCGGCGGCTTAAACCCCCGACCAAATGTTCACGATTCGTCTCGGGGGATTTAGTCAGTCTAAGACGCGGTACGAGGCTTTCGCGACCAATATCATCCATAGTAGAGGGTTTTTTGGGGTTAAATCGCGTAAATATTAACGTGTCGTTATAACTCCCCCCACCACCCGACACGGCCAATTAGTAAGGTTTGTCACGTGAACAGAACTTGCCAATTCGATGCTAGTACAGCACACCGGTTGTTGTGTGTCGGAGAGCAAATCCACAACACTTAAAATGTTGTTGTTGTTGTGTGGGTGAGATGGTCGCGTAGTGTTAATCTAACACGTAGGCTTTCACAACCGATATATTATTAATATGTAATATTCTTCATACATAAAAAGCCAGAACCCTGATGTCACGCTAACTCCGTAATGCTATATCATTAATAATCATGAGCGGGTGACGTCACTCCACATGGAGCACCCACCTCATTAATAATCATGAGCGGGTGACGTCACTCCACATGGAGCACCCACCTCATTAACAATCATGAGCGGGTGACGTCACTCCACGTGGAAAACCCACCTCATTAATAATCATGAGCGGGACATTATTGTCGATTGAATATTTCAAATTTACTGCAATACACATGCCATTCTCCGACACACAACCGGTGTGCTGTGCCAGTAACGAATCGGCCCGTTCTGTTCACGTGACAAACCTTATTTAATTGGCTGTGGTCGGGTGTTGGCGGGTTTCATCCACACGTTTATATTTAAGCGATCTCACAACAAAAATAGCCCCTAAATTACGGCTACTATTTTATGACGGCGACGACAGCCAATCAAATCGATCGGCCACGTCACACTGGCAACATCGGTGTGGTTTGTCAACAAAAGCGTCGCGTTGAGCAGCCCGAGCAAAACACGTTGACACCTTGGCACGAATTTTGCATATCTACTGTGATCCCCAGGGCCCTGAGGCGTTGGCTTCTCTTCGCTACGCCAGCGCGTGGCTCTGGGTGATGCACCTCGGCGGAGTGGGTGGCAACGTCTGCTGCGTGTGTGCGTGTGAGCTTCATGGACTCGTGGACGTTTGAACTTCACTTTGGCCGCTGCAGTTATTCTGAGCCAATCTCGAGCGCTCGGCCTGCACTGGACACCCGTGGCAAAGAGCTTGGTAGCTCATCGGATTCCTCAGGTCTATTAAAGAATTATTCTGCCGCTGGCACGTGGCCTGCAGTTTTATGGCAGTCGATGGGGGGTGGATGGGAAAAAACGAAATATCCTTCATGAATAACACTATCAGTGGCAGCAGCCATCATCAATCCACTGCTGCGTGAAGACCACGCAAATCATTAGTTTGTGTTCGTACGTAACCGTGAGTTTAGTTTTTGCCATCGACTGACGGACGGGGTGTGGATCATGTGGACGACGACGATGATGACGATGATGATGATGTTGATGGCGGCGGTGACGATGACGCGTCGGTTAGTTCCCACTCATGCGGCATCACGTGCTGTTTGGGGCACGCGGCGGCTCGCTTTGTCTTGTGGCTCCTTTACCTTAAACCCCCCTACCCACTCCTACCCACCCCTACCCACCCTACCCACCCCCTACCCACCCTCTACCCACTCCATAACCCCCCCTACCCACCCCTACCCACCCCCTACCCCCCCTACCCACTCCATAACCCCCCCTACCCACCCCTACCCCCCCCCTACCCACCCCTACCCACCCCCTACCCACCCCCTACCCACCCCCTACCCACACCCTACCCACCCCTACCCACCCCCTACCCACCCCTACCCACCCCCTACCCACCCCCTACCCACCCCCTACCCACCCCCTACCCACCCCCTATCCACCCCCTACCCCCACTCTACCCACCCCCTAACACCGTTCCCTGCGATTGCGACACCCGATAACAATGCTCAGGCGCTGTCGGTGGGACAAGGGGAGTCAAGCCGTTGGGCAGCAAGGTGAAGGCGCAGCACTGCAATTGCCTGCTCGCGACCACCCGCTGCAGAACGGCGGCCTCTAGAGAGAACCCCTCTACGGAGGGTATTTTGGCCCGACTCTTCCACGGTGGCCAGGCGTGTCGGGACGTGTGGGAGATATCCACAGTTGACCTCGCCACGACACGCGAGCCGGCCGAGCGTAGGTCACGGTGTAGTCCTCTCTGCCGCTGGCTATGACAGAGGTGCGGGGCAAGTCCTCGTACCCTCTCGTACCCTCACCCTCTCGTACCCTCTCACGCACGGCGGAGAGCTCTCTCCGGGTCAGTTACCGAAGAAGCCCCCAGCACGCGGCGCGCGAAACGTCGGACATCGTGGCCCGGGCCCCGACGGCACGGGGCTGATGGGCACGCGGGGCGAGTTTCCCCACCGGGCTTTGGCAAAACGGCCGTCTAGAACGCCATGCCGAAACAGCCGGAGCTGGAGGTCTTAATCGGTGTTCACCGCTCCAGCATGCCACGGGTGCAGCGGGGAGACACGGTGGTCGCGAGGCACAGCGGGGCGGTGCGAGTGGACCTGATTTTCTGGTCGCGATTGATATTGTCGGGTTTGTGAATTTGTAACCTGCGGCTGTCAATGTTCGGCTGGCACTGCCTGAATCTATAGAATTTGCACATTTTCTTTTTTTGCAATACAAGCTGGAGAGCCCGAGCAGTTAAGGGAGCCGCCAATTCTGTTGAGCGAGATTCGACTGCGGTAATCGGCGATGTCACCGTATTAGATGTGGAGTCGAACACAGTTGCCTGAATTGAGAAAGGTTGGTGTCGTGAAGAGCTTCGGGGAAAAGAGACGATGGGAGGTGATCCAGAAAGTGTTGTGGGTGAGTGAGTTGGAGAGTGAGTGGTGTTGTTGTGACCTGCAGTGCGGTGAGCGGCTGAGCGAGTGAGTGTGTTATTGTGACCGCGTGTCCAGCCACCGCATGCCCAAGCAGCCGTTGTTTGGTCGGATAGAGGGGGCTAAACAGATAAGGCACGGGCTAGAGAAGAGATGGAGTGATGTGGTAGAGGAGGATGTGGAGCTGAGTGGACTTGCCGATGACTGGTACCAGCGGTGTCAAGATCGGCCTCTGTGGAGGAGGCTCGTGAAGGACGCTACTGGGCAGTTGGAGGCAGTCGCCCTCCAGCAACAATAGACGGCAGAGGAGCGATGCTCACAACGATCAGAGAGCCGGGTGGCTAAAACACAGCAAGTTGGCACAGTAGGGGGCACAGGTGGTGTATCTGCCAGTCATCTCAGTCGACCTGTGGCACCTGGGTCTGTCTGGTGGCCTCCGACCAGCGGGCCTTCGACACTTCACGTGGCCTCAAAGTGCACCTAGCCTGGCACAAGCGCCGTAGTGACGTCACCGCCACTAAGTGGTGAACGGCGGTTGTTGTTGTCGTGTTGTGACTTGCAGTGTGGTTGAGATTGAACACGGAGAATGGGATGAGACGACACCGAGTCTGGTTGACCGAGTCGTCAACACGAGTTGAGTGCGTCGACCACGCACGCGCACACGCACACGCACGCACACAGGCACGCACCCACGCACACGCACGCACGCGCATACGCACGCACACACACACGCACACACACACGCACACACACGCACACACACACACGCACGCACACACACACACGCACACGCACGCGGCCTCACCTTGGCGGGCGAGCGGCCTGCGTCCTCTCCCAGCGGCTTGAGCCACCCAGCCTTGCCCTCGGCCGAGGCCTTCCCGCCCGCGGAGGCCGACGAGACGGCGCGGCGGTACGACGTGGAGCGAAGGCCCCGCTGGAGGCCCCCCACGTCGCTGACGCCGACGGCACCGCCGCCGCCGCCGTTCGGGCGGCGCCAGCCCGGCTCGTCCACCGGCGCCGCTTCGGCGTCTCCCGCCGAGGCGGCGCCCTCGTCGTCCGACGCCGGCGCCGCTTCCAAGAAGAGGAGGCTGCGCGTCCGGCGCTCGCGCCGGTCGACCGCCTGCAGGCTCCGGTGGTGGCTCAGGCCCCGGCGCGCCGACGCGTTGGCCCCGGCGGGCTTCCCGGCCGCCAGCCCCTTGGGGATGACCTGCGCGGTGCCCAGCTTCCGCGCCGCGGCGCTGTCGGTGCTGAGCACCACCGAGTCGACGTCGAACTCGAGAGGGCCGCCGCGCAGGCCGGAGGTCGGCCGCGCGGCGGAGGCGCCGTTGAGCGCCGGCGCGGCACCGGCGAGCGGGGAGCAGCCCGAGGCCGGCGGTCGGGGGGTCGCGTGCGAGGGGGAGCGCGCGAGGGACGCGGCGCCGGCGGGTTCCGTCTCCACGGGGGTGCCGGGCGACGTGGGCGACTCGCTGCCGCTGCTGCTGCTGACGACGCTGCCGCCGCAGGCGCCGGCGCCGGCGGAGGAGGAGGAGAGCAGGGACTGCGAGCGGTGGCGGCCGTGCGGGGAGTTCCACTTGGGGGAGATGTGGAGCTGCGACAGGTCCACGTCGTTGCTGCGCTCCATGTTTGATGTCTACGCGGCGGAGAGCTAAGCCAAGGTTTCGGTCACGAGCCGGTCATGGTGCGGCAGCGGTCAGAGAACTCCCCAGCACGGCCACCTCCTGGCCCTCCTTCTCTCTCTCCCGCTTGGACGGCGCGGCAGCCCTCCCTCGGGACTCCCTGGCACGGCAGGAGAGAAAACACACAAGCGGTGGTCGGTATTCTTAGGCTGTCCCTTGGACGCCTGTCAAAGGGAGAGCGTGCGGCTCGCAATCAGAAGTTTGCAAGTTCACACCCTGGTCGCGGGTGGGATTGACTCAGCTCATCACCCCTCACTGGGTGGACCGAGGTGGGGGGCGGGGTGGTTCAAGCTGCCGCGCCGTGAGAAGGGGAATCGAGCCGGCGACCCAGCTGGATTGCGAGCCCAGCGCGCACTGACCCTTTGCGTCAATGCTGCACCTCCCTCGCCCTGACCCGTGACTCGCGTCACCGTCGCCGTGTATCACTGTATACCGCGCAGCCCAGGGCAGTGCATCTGGAGGAGACAGAACAGAGGGGAACTTGAGATCGCCACTCGCTAGCGGAGTGCGGACAGCAGCACACTGTCCTACACAGAAGCTACGCGCCGTGCGGAAGACGTGCGGAGTGGGCGAGAATCCCTCACCGGACTGAGAAGCCAAACTGCGTCCGGGACTCGTCGCGTTTCGTGCCATCCGAGTTATATCGCACGCGCTACCAAGATGCGCCGATGTCTGCATTTTAATCTCAAGATGTTTTCGTTCGGCGTTTGAGCGTCGTGTTCAGTGTCGTCGTCCATGCAAACTGCATCACGCACTCGCTGAGCAAAGCGCAACGTTGGAACGCAGTAGCCAGGCGGTGGCCCCGGTGCTATCAAGAATTTCCCAAGCTCTGAGGGCCCTCTGTGCATTAAGATGTTTTCAGCCAAAGAGCGATTGCTTATTATTATTATGATCATACGTGTGGGAGGAAATCAGAGTGCCTGCATAAACCGCACGCGTGCCCCCATACAGAAGGGACAGATGGAGATTAGGCAACAACATCTGTGTGTGCGGTGATTCACCAACCCTCGCTACTGCCTCCACAGGCGGCCACCACCGACGGTGACGTCACCACAGCGGCTGTGCCAGGCCAGGTGCACTTTGAGGCCGTCACGTGAAGTGCTGAAGGCTCGCTGACACAGGAGGTCACGGCACAGACCCCAGGTGCCGTGGGTCTGCTGACTGAGATGACTGGTAGATGCACCAGCTGTACCCCCATACTGTACCAGGCTATGTGCACTAGGTCACGGGACAGACCCAGCAGGTGCCGTGGGTCGGCTGACTGAGATGACTAGTAGATGCATCAGCTGTGCCCCCGACTGTGCCAACTACCATCGCCACCGCCGCGGCTTGTCCAGATTACTGAATTGTGGTTGCGCGTGAGTCATCTTTTTATGTTGACCCCATGGTGTGCACAAATGCCTCTACATCTGACCCTGAATGGGAGTGTGGGAGGGGCGGCGGGGGTTAGGGGGTTCTGCTGTAAGATTCTCGAAAATCGATCTCGTGGCTTTGCGGCACAACAATCACCTTGCAGGATTTCAATTCACGGCGGTAGATTTCATGATCGACGGCAGCGTCGGCCCAACGTCGTTGTCGTATCCCCAATAGCGCCGCCCCCCCGCCAGGCTGTTGTGGACCCACGCCCCACGCCGGCTTTGCCGCACATCCGTTAAAGGACCTCGTGATGAAAAAAAAGTTTTTATGATCTCGAGACATTTCCGCCTTGTCTTGCAGCCACCTTGTAAAACGTCGCAATTTTTTTTTTCTCGTAAGTCGAGCGAGCTGCAATTGCATCAGTTCTGAACGAAACTATTGTGTTTTTATTTTACCGGGCAAGGCCCACTGAACTTTACAGCTCTTTTTCAGAAGCGACCTGGCCACAAATGTTGACAAATGATAGCTCAACGAAGTGGTTTATCACCATCCGGAAATGTTTAGCAGCCAAATACCCTAAGGGCGTGATGTTGATTCTAAATGTGGAGGAAAACCCCAGAGGACGCAGAGAAAAATCGATGCGACCACAAGGAGAGAGAGACGCAAACTCCAAATATACAGGCGTACGAAAGTGTAGTCTAATGCTAACGATTAAACATCAGCCGTGTTCATTCAAATGTGCGCTCTGCATATAAAATATCAAGGCGCAGCCCTGCAATTGCCTGCTCACGCCACTGGTGACAGAAGGGCCACCACTAGAGGGAGCTCTAGAGAGTGCCTCAAGAAGGTATTTGGCCTACTCTTCCACACTCGCCAGTCGTCTCGGGAGAGGTGTGAGTACTCACACTTTCCCCCACCACACGCGATCTGGCGATCAACTAAACTGTGGCTGTACCCAATCATCCTGCTGATGAGACAATGCCCACTGCTGGCTGGATAGAGCCGGTGGTGGAGGTGGTGGTGGTGGCAAAACATCGCCGCTTGGGAGACAAAGGCGGCCGGGCGTGGTGCTGGCCACCCACCCCCTCGTGTTCCTCCGTGTGCCGCACTTCATAAGTGCTGCTCGCGCACAGCACTTGCCCCAACGACGGCCTGTTAGAGGCTACACGGGGGGGGGGGGGGCTTTGTCTTCGTTACGTGTGTAAACGAGCTAAGAGAGGGGAAGAGGAGAGAGAGGCAAGGAGATTGATTGGTGGGTGGGGGGGGGGGGGTCGGTTTCGTCTTAAGGAATGAGCGTGGGCTGCCTAAGAACGCTATCTCATTCCAGACGACGGAGATCTTTAATGCTGAACAGACTCCGCCCGCCGCGTGGAATCCGCTCGCACAAACACTCAACATCTGCTCCGTGAGCCCCCCCCCCCCCCCCCCCCGCTTGCCTCGGGAATCACGCAGCACACACAGCCCCCCCCCCCCGCTCTTGACAACGCTGTTCATCACTCCGTAATATGCACGTGCGTTTCATTACCGGCGCGCTGCCCCGTGCAGCAGTCGTTAGCCCCAACGGACCTGCGCGACGCACTCATCACCGTGGCCTATCCGCTGCTGGATGATGAAGATCAACGTGGAGGAGGACGTCGTCTCTAACTTGCGTGCGCTCTACAATCCGCGTGCTCCTCGCGCTTGTCTCTCGCCTGTCCGTGCTTCTTTGCACACGCGCTGTTCCACTGCTGTTCCACCCTGGCCCACGCTTGCGCTTGCACGAGTTGTAGCCAGCATGTCGCGTTATAGCCCGCGGAACGCGCCGATGCAGCAGCACGGTCTTTAACACCACCACCACCACATCATCATCGGCATGTTGCTGCTCATTGTCAGGTACAGCTATGACGACTCACGCTAGAGTTGATCACTCATTTTCAGGGGGGCGGGGGGCCACTTTCCCCGATAAGACGTCATCAGTGTGGTGAGGGCCGCCGCACCGTCTGAAACCATTGGGGGTTTGTGACGACGACGATGATGACGATGACGACGACGGGGTTGCGTTTTCACCACTTGTGTATGGTCGGGGGGGGGGCGCATGTCAGGGGCCGCCCTAAAGGCCGCCGGCCTCCGCCAGTGGCCCGAGGGCCTTGCAACGAAGAGCCCCCCCCCCCGGGTCACGCAATGTCCTCGTGGCACCTGGCACGGCGTTTACCTGTTACACCTGCCACGTGGTTTACCTGTTACCTCTGGCGTGGTGTTGACCTTTACACCTGGCGAGCGACATTAGGTGGGTAGGAAGTGCCGCCTGAGCTAAGCAGGGGTTGAGCCTGGATCGTGCCTGGATGGGCGACCACCATTCCTCCAACAGGTGGTATGGGGGGGAGATCGGTGGTGGAGCGGTTAGCGCGCTGCACTACGAACCCCAGGTGAGCAGAGTTCGAATCCCGTTCACGGCCAACAAACAGCGACGATGATCTGAACCGATCCTGGGCCATCCCTTAGGTCGACTCAGCCTCGACTGAGCACGTGTGCGCGAGTGTCGATGTCGCCCCAAGTTATGTACTTACCAGGGCGCTGCTGGTACTGTGAGAGTCACTGAGCCACCCGGTGCATCACGACCACGTGACGGACTCAATCGCAATACCTCCAACTACATAGAGCACGTGTTACATGTACCACGGCACACAGCTACTACGTCACACAGCTACATGTACCACGTGACACAGCTACACGTACCACGTGACACAGCTACACGTACCACGTCACACAGCACATGTACCACGGCACACAGCTACATGTACTACGTCACACAGCTACATGTACCACGTCACACAGCTACATGTACTACGTCACACAGCTACATGTACCACGTGACACAGCTACATGTACCACGTCACACAGCTACATGTACTACGTCACTCAGCTACATGTACCACGTGACACAGCTACATGTACCACGTGACACAGCTACATGTACCACGTCACACAGCTACATGTACCACGTCACACAGCTACATGTACCACGTGACACAGCTACATGTACCACGTCACACAGCTACATGTACCACGTCACACAGCTACATGTACCACGTGACACAGCTACATGTACTACGCCAGGCGTCGCTGTGTGGATGCGCTCACGATGTCCACGCAGCCGCGTGTCACCCCCTCCCCCCCCAGCAAGTCGCGAGATGCGACATTGTCATCCACATCCGACTGTCAGGCGACTTCAACGACACCACTCTAACGTGTATAAACGACTGTACGCGAAGTTCATTGTGACCTTTACACCTCTGGCACGCCAGTGCCATGACTCGGATAATACTCAAAGTAATAAATTAGCCACGAGCACGCGCCACTGAGTCTCAAGACTCCCTGCTCAGGAGGGTCCTGCCGGCATGGCGCTTTGACCGTGAACACCCCCACGGCACTCACGGACCCGCTTGCGGCCACCTCGCAGCCTAGAAAATCTCTACGTGGTTCACCAACCCCTGGATGAAACGGCGGTGGTGAATCTGGTGGCGATGTTGGCCCACTGGGGGGGGGGGGGGCATGCCCCCCCCTACCTCCGCCCCGACCCCTTTCAGCTTATGAACTCCCAGTGAGATGGCAGAAGAGATGCGGATACGACATAGAGCTCTAGAGATGAGAAGAGATACATCGACGAGAGGTAAGATATGTTACGAGTTGCGATCAGAGATACAGTACTGTAGGTGTGCGAGAGACCCAGATGGAGTGAGATGAGAGATTCTAACTGGCTATTCGCGATAATCATTAGTTTGTTTTGCTTGAGAATATATTCGGATCAATCCCCTATACATTTTCTATTAATCCGATGCTCATCGAGTTATGTAGGAGGAGGAGGGGGGGCTAAGCTGGAGTTTGTTCTCGGTCCGCGATGCCTGGCGCCACACCGCCGCCACTGGGAGGAGGGCGGCCCGGGTCCACGAGACGGGCACGGGGAACCCGCCCGGCACGCGGCGCGCGGGTGACGCGTGGGTGACGCGTGGTGGACGTGATAGTGGAGGAAGAGGTGGTGGTGGACGTGATAGTGGAGGAGGAGGTGGTGGTGGACGTGATAGTGGAGGAGGAGGTGGTGGTGGACGTGATAGTGGAGGAGGAGGTGGTGGTGGTGCTGGTGGTGGTGGTGCTGGTGGTGGTGGACGTGATAGTGGAGGAGGTGGTGGTGGTGCTGGTGGTGATGGACGTGATAGTGGAGGAGGTGGTGGTGGTGGTGGTGTTGTTGGTGGTAGACGTGGTAGTGGTGCTCGTGGTGGTGGACGTGATAGTGGAGGAGGAGGTGGTGGTGTTGTTGTTGGTGGTGATAATGGTGGTGGTGGACGTGATGGTGGAGGAGGTGGTGCTGGTGGTGGACGTGATGATGATGATAGGGAAGCGGTGGTGCAGCGGTTAGAGCGCTGCGCTACGAACCCGGCGACTCGAGTTCGATTCCCGCTCACGGCCAACACCGGGGACGATTACCGGAACCGGTCATGGGCCTCCCCTAGGTCGACTCAGGAGACAAAGGTGGCCGGACGTGGTGCTGGCCACCCACCCCCTCGTGTGCCACAGTGTCGGCCTTCATAGGTGCTCGCTAACACCCCTTGCCCCAACAGTCTGTTCAGGCTACACGGGGGAAATCTCTGTCTTTGGTGGACGTGATGGTGGAGGAGGTGGTGGCGGACATGGTGGTGGACATGGTGGTGGACATGGTGGTGCACGTGGTGGTGGTGGTGGACATGGTGGTGGACATGGTGGTGCACGTGGTTGTGGTCGACATGGTGGTGGACGTGATGGTGGAGGAAGAGGTGGTGGACATGGTGGACATGGTGGTGCACGTGGTGGTGGTGGTGGTGGTGACCGGCATGTGATGAATCCCTGGTGGTGGAGGAGGTGGAGAAAGTGGTGGTGGTGGACATGGTGGTGGTGGAGGTGATGGTGGACATGGTGGTGGACGTGATGGTGGAGGAAGAGATGGTGGACACGGTGGACATGGTGCTGCATGTGGTGGTGGTGGTGACCGGCATGTGATGAATCCCTGGTGGTGGAGGAGGTGGTGGTGGTGGTGGACATGGTGGTGGTGGAGAAGGTGGTGCACGTGGTGGTGGTGGTGCACGTGGTGGTGGTGACCGGCAGTCGAGTCTCACCCTCTCAGGAGCGGGTTCGCGTCGGCGCAATCCACAAGGTGGCCCGGCTGTGTCGCCGCCTCTCTCGCTCTCGTTACGACTTCATCGCCACGGCTGGACAGACTCCCCCGTCTCTCCCTCCCCGTGCCTTCACTCCCTCCGACTCGCCTCGCTCATGATGGAGGCTGTACCTACAGGTCGTGCAACAACAACAACACGGCCAATGCGGCCGGTGCTGGGGAGGTGATCTGCCGATTGTTTTTTTGGCTTTCTCGCTCTCGCCGCGCGCACTGAGAGTCTTTGCCAACTGCGCCCTCCGATCAACCAACACCCCCCACCCTCTCTCTCCCCCTTGCCTTGCCCTGCCTCTCCCTCTCTCTCTTTCTCTCTGTGCCTCCCTCCCTCCCTGCCTCTCGTCACCTCCTCCTGCTCGTCTCGCGGCATTAACCCCACCGCGATGCACACGCACGCACTGCCGAGTTCCACTTGATCAATGCCTCTTCCAGCCAAACTCTCTCGCGCGCTCTCTCTCTCTCGGTGTCTCACTCCATCTCCCCGAGCCTCCATCCCTGCCACTCTTTCCATGTTCTTTTCACCTGCTCGGCCCGTGCATCCACACACGCGCGACACGCCACACACTACACACAAGCCACACACACACCACACACACCACACACGCACGCCACATACTACACACACACTCCACACACTACACACACGCGACGCACACGCCACACAAACGCGACAAACCACACACACACCACACGACACACACACACCACACCACACACACCACACACACGACACACACACACCACACACACCACACACACCACACACACGACACACACACCACACGACACACACACCACACACCACACACACCACTCCACACACACGACACACACCCACACACACGACACACACCCACACACCACACACACCACACACACGACACACACACCAACACGACACACACACCACACACACCCACACGACACACACACACGACACACACAACACACACCACACATCGCCACCACAACGCACCACACACACACTACACACACGCGACGCACACGCCACACAAACGCGACAAACAACACACCACACACACCATACAACACACACACCCACACGACACACCACACACACACCCACACGAAACACACCACACACCACACGACACGCACACCCACACGACACACACGACACACACACCACACCACACACACCACACGACACACACACCACACACACCACACACACACACCACACACACCACACACACACACGACACACACCCACGCGAGGCGTGTTGGTAAACGCGTGTTCGAGCCAAACTCCGTCCCCCTCTCTCTCTCCCTCCGTCTCGCTCGGTCTCCCCCCGCCCCCACCCTGCACCCCCTCCAAGAGGTCCTGCTTCACCGTCCGGGTTACTCTGAAGAAGTTCCCAGCAGCGCCACCACACGCCACCACCACCATCACCCCTACCCCCACCACCCCAACCCCACCACCAACCCCACCATCACCCCTACCACCACCACCACCCATACCCCCACCACCGCAACCCCACCACCACCACCAACCCCACCACCCCAACCCCACCACCCCTACCCCTACCCCCACCACCACCACCCCCACCACCCCTATCCCCACCACCACCACCCCCACCACCACCACCACCCCCACCACCCCTACCCCAACCCCACCACCCCTACCCCCACCATCACCCCTACCCCCACCACCCCAACCCCACCACCAACCCCACCACCCCTACCCCCACCATCACCCCTACCACCACCACCACCCCCTACCCCCACCACCCCAACCCCACCACCCCTACCCCCACCACCACCACCCCTACCCCCACCATCACCCCTACCACCACCACCACCACCCCTACCCCCACCACCCCAACCCCACCACCACCACCAAACCCACCACCCCTACCCCCAACACCCCCACCACCACCAACCCCACCACCCCTACACCCACCACCACCAACCCCACCACCACCACCCCCACCACCCCTACCCCCACCACCACCACCCCCACCACCCCTACCCCCACCACCACCAACCCCACCACCCCTACCCCCACCACCACCACCACCACCCCCACCACCCCCACCACCACCAACCCCACCACCCCTACCCCCACTCTCCCTACCCTCAACCACCACTACCACCACCACTACCACACACCACCAACAACCACGCGCCACCACCTCACCTGTGACTGGGCCTGGTGCCGGTCCTGAAACGTCGGACGTCGCCACTTGCCGGCGTGCTGCCGCTGCGGCGATGCACGTGACCCCGTAGGTGGGGGCCGTCCATAAATGACGTCACGCGATTTTAGACGATTTTGACCCCCCCCCCCCCATCGTCACACGGCGTCACAAAAAGTCAGCCCCCCCTCAAATATGACGTCACACAGCTCTGACCCCCCCAAAAAAATAGAAAACATGCTTCAAATCGCTTTAAACTATTGTCATTGTAGTGCGCATTTAATGTGGCGCTGCACTCTGATGTTGTAGGAGAAAACATTTATTTTAAAGTATATTTAATTAAGTAGAACGTGTTGTCTATATTTATTTAAAGTTGCGCATTTTGATGTGAGGTCACATTTCTCAAACCCCGTCCCCCCTCGTCACCCATCGTCACAAATGTCTGACCCCCCCCCTCCCCCCAAGGTGCGTGACGTCATTTATGGACGGCCCCGTAGACGCACGCGTACAGGCGCGTGCGCTGGCAGCTTCTGGCTGGGAGCGGCTCTGTTTTCAGGGTGGGCGATCGGTCCCCTCCCTGTCGCTCTTCGGTCGCTGCCACCACGAATGCCGCTAACGCGAAGGTCCAACTGAGCACGGTCGGCGACGTGCGGTGCGAAAGAAGTTCCCAGCATAGAGCGGTGGAGAGAGAACGAGAGTTGGACGCGGGGCTTGGACGCGCAACGCGTCGGAGCGCTTCGGGGTCGTCGTGTTCGTGGCGCGGATTTGTTCATCTTCGTCTCGACTGGGCGAGGAATCCCATGAGGCCACGAAGCTCTTTTGTTGTTGTTGCTGTTGTTGCTGTTGTTGTTGCTGCTGCTGTTGTTGTTGTTGCTGTTGTTGTTCACAGGTGCCCGGTAATAAACACCGGGCCCTGTTCGCGGGACTCTCTCGCCTCGATTGGAATTCCGCTCCAGGTTCTTCTGACAAGACGACCGCGACCCCTCTGGCTGGGTGGCTCAATGGGCGACTGGGGGGAGGGGGGATGCAAGGGGGGGCGATAGGGGGGCACGAGGGATGGGGGGGGGGCACGAGAGACGGGGGGGGCACGAGGAATGGGGGGGCACGAGGGATGGTCGCCGGTGTCACGCCGGGGTTGTTGCCACGGTAACGAGCCTGTGTTGTGATTGGTTGTTTTTCTATAGTATTTATTTCGTGTGTGACAACACGGTTGCTAAGCGCAAGGGGGGGGGGGGTGTGGGAGCAAAACGTCAAACGACCGGCAACAAACAGCACTATCAGAGATGTCATGGGTTAGAGTCGAACGCGTCTCTTGAGCTGAGTAAGATTGTTGTTGTTGGGATCTGTAAGAGCTTGGGGGACAGAGATGACGGTGGGAGGGGCATTTACGAAGTGGAGCAGAGCGCGAGGGGAGAGGCAGACAGAGAAGTGCGGTGACGTGCAGGGTGGTGAGCGGGTGGGTGGGTGAGTGGGTGAGTGCGCGGTTGGGTGGGTGAGTGAGTGAGCTGGTGGGTGGGTGAGTGAGCGAGTGAGTGAGTGGGTAAGTGAGCGGGTGAGTGGGTGGGTGAGTGGGTGGATGGGTGAGTGAGCGAGTGAGTGGGTGAGTGGGTGGGTGAGTGAGTGAGTGAGTGGGTGGGTGAGTGAGTGAGTGAGTGGGTGAGTGAGCTGGTGGGTGGGTGAGTGAGTGAGTGAGTGCGCGGGTGGGTGAGTAGGTGAGTGAGTGAGTCAGTAGGTGAGTTAGTGGGTGGGTGAGTGAGCGGGTGGGTGGATGAGTGAGTGCGTGAGTGGGTGGGTGGGTGAGTGAATGAGTGAGTGGGTGGGTGAGTGGGTGGTGGGTGAGTGAGTGGGTGGGTGAGTGGGTGAGTAAGTGGGTGGGTGAGTGGGTGGGTGAGTGAGTACGGTGGTTAAACACAGCGTGGGCGAGCTGATGGTAGAGACCGCGTCATCAACACGAATGAAGGCACTGACGAGCGAAGTCCACGGGGAACGAAGCGACTGCCCGCCCACCCGAACAAGCTCCCCGGCACGTGGCGCGAAACGTCGGATGGGATGAAGCAGGGTGCCGCGGTGGCTGGGAGATGTTAACTACCTCGCCTGCTACACAGGAGGTCGTGGGTTCGATCCCGACCTTGACGCCTGCTGCTGTATATTTGGAATTCACATGTCTCACTCTCTCTCCCCCCGTGATCGCGTGGATTTTTCTGCGGGTCCTTTGGGTGTCCCCTCCACACTTAGAATCAACATCACCACGCGTTCAGAGTACAGTGTTGTGGCTGCCATAAATGTCCACGCGAAAAGCCAACTTCGTTGGGCTTTCATTTACGATGACCAGCTCGCTCCTGAAAAATAGCGACACGGCTCGGTGGGCCTTACCTGGCAACGTAAACATAGTTGTCGTTTTATACTTTACAATTGATACTTTTATAGGGTTGCATGTGGCGTGACGCAACGCGGCGCTCACGACTATGCAAAGCGTTCCGCGTGCAATAGCGGATGAGACGACACCGCGTCAGAATCTATTGATGTTCCCCTGGAGAACACACGAACGCGCGAGTCGAGATCGTGGCCCACGTGGCTTCCCCTCCGCTCTGTTTACTCTCGAGCGGAATCCGATCGCTGGGAGACGCGAGTGTTTATCTTATACAAAGCTACGCAGCAGCAGCAACAGCAGCAGCAAAGCGCGCATTTGCTCCGTGTCTGTATTAGATTCAACCGCAACTTCAGACTCCGTACGTAGACAGAGGGCTTGTTTATTGTCTATATATGTGTGTTTGTGTGTGTAGAGAGAGAGAGAGACAGAGGGATGAAGAGAAAGAGGGAGTCAGTCACAGGCGGTGGAGGAGACTTTTAAACAACTGTTATTGCCGCCAGCAGCAAAAGCACTGGAGGCCATTTCGATATGAAACACACAAGTCACCAGCAAACAAATGAAAATAAACGCTACAAATCGACGCGCTGTGGCGCTAAAAGCAACACAACACAAAATAAAAGTCACGTGGTTGTGGTGGTCATCGCGCACGCCACGGTGACGAGCGAGCGCTAGAAAGGCAGATCTGGGCCTTGGACAAGGGAGTCGACAGCACGGACGGCTTAGGGGAAA